GATGTGAAAAATTTTAATCTGTTGTATGATTATTTACGGGTATTACATCAATATGTCAATTTCTCTGAACTATTGACTGGCTGATTTTATTAAAAAGAATATTGATTTTTTAATCATATTTCACAAGCTCATTGCATCATATTGAAAAACAAAAGTTAAAAATATTTCCACACTACGTAAACACAAATATATTGCTGTTTATTCATGCAATGTTTACAATACATTACATTACGCAATAACAAACTAGGTTATACTGAAATAATATACGACGATAAAATCCAATATCAATCGCTCAAAACAAATTAACATGCCATGATTGTATGATAGGAAAAACTGATTCAATATGGAGCCTATATGCAAATCTTTGAAACCTATGTTAACAAAAAGAGCAGACATAACTGGGACTTGGAACCTTTTATAGATTCCCATCCACTTTGATTTTGGTGCAGGAAATAGGTTAGTTTTCTTTCAGGCTAAACCAATTATAGAATGGAGATTAGCTTACATTGTCTGATTATACATATATCTCATTGTAATAACTACAGTCAAAAACCTGGAGCCTTATTCTAGAAAACTTAAAGGGACTGTAAAGAGGATTTTTAAAATTTTTATGCTTATCAGTGACACCAATAGCATCAATTTGCACCATTCCAATTTTCACCATGTCATTTTTCAATCAGACGTCTAAGGTTCCTGCAATTCCACTAAAACTAAGAGTCACCCTTTTTGCCCTTTCTTTATAGGTCTCTCATTGGAATTCTGCTGGTAATTCTCTTCTAATTCAGCAAATTATGAAATAATTATGAACATGTGAGACAAACTGGTATTTTTCCAAGTCACTAGAACACCTCTATTTTCTATTCATATTAGCATTAGCATTTTCATTTTCATAAATGAAAATTAGGGAACCCATCTTTAAGACTGTACAAATATGAAAATTCTTGTTTTATGATAAAAGGCCCTTGCTTCACAAAGAACTTTATTCTCATTTCACTAACTGTACAAGGTGTGTCCATTGTGGCCACAGAGTTGCACAAATTTCACAAACATTAATCGGAAAGTATAAAAACCTACGGAACAGAAACTATTGTCTCCGTCAAAAAGCCATTGTAGTAAAAAGAAATATAGTGTGCAAGAGGCTTTAAGATAGAAATTTCAGGCTTAATGATGTATATTGACATAATCCATTGTTTATCAAACAATAAGAGATCACCCCCATGTTTTATATTAGACCATTGTTTCAAATAAACCTTTTATTTAACTTGGCAATAACACTCGCATTCTATATGGAGTGCTAATTCCTCCAAAATGCACACACTAAACCTAGTGTCAACAACTTTTTACTCTTAATGTATTCTGTAAAGGTATCTTTTTAAATGAATTGTTTTTCTTTTAAATGTAAAATTTATACAAAACACGTTAGAATGGTGGCTTCATGCTAAAAATTTTATTGCATTCTATTACAGAAGTGAAATGGAGATTCATTATGTGCTCAATGGGGAAAACTTTCTAAGTCTGTGAAATCAATCTTCTCTTTTTAGATTTCCAATTGTTGTATCTGAAATCTTTAACATGAACAGTTTGTAGCACAGAGGGCCTTGTTTTTTTGTTCCACTGGAATTAGATTTTTCCCATATTAGTCCGTCCATCCAACCTGCTTTAGGGTACAAGAAGAAAGCTAATCTCCAATCCTGGCATATGGACTGTGGACAAGGTTACTTGACAAAGGTATTTAAATTTGAGGGATTGGCATGGAAAAAGAGACAAATCGTTCAAAGTGGACAATAAATTAAGGCCCTGTAAGATACAGACTGTACTCGTTAATGATCCTTTGACAGATGAAAATTAACTGAAAAAAAATTTCAATCATTGCACACTGCATGGCATTGCCTGTCTGCAAAATCCATCCATTTCATTTCATTTAAAATAGATCTACAGATTGCTCTCTGCAAGACATTGCAACATTTCATTTACCTAATAGAATGTAGAAAAGCAGAAACATTAAAGTTAAATTATTCTATTGATCCTAGTTGGTTTTCCATACTATGTGGTGAGGTTATACATAATAAAGATTGTATAAAGATATTGAGGTTAAGTGAGGTGAAGGTTTATAACAATAGAAAGCCCCTCAAGTTAACATGATATCAGGAAATAACATATGTTATATAAAAAACACATGATAAATCTACCTTACATTTTGACCCATATAATATTACTATTGTATATCTTATTTAGTAAGTAGTAAGTATACATATTTCAATAACATATGCAAAAAAACCCAACAAAGTCTTAAAGGGATACTACGTCTTAGAATAAACATAAAATTTTAAACTTGGCCAATAAGTTCATCAGTAGATATACCTGATTATATCCTTATATAATCCCACAAGTCCAAAAAACTTAATAAAAATGAAATAAACTAATGAAAAACGCTTAATATTTTGAACTTTTCAATAATTACTTACTTTTATGAATTTTCAAATGTTCTAGATTTTACAGGGATTCTGTTGTAACTTTATGACACAAGGTCATATACTGATGAATATATACTCATATCGACCATTCTTGAGAAATTCAATTTTATGTTCATTTTAAGACGTAGTATCACTTTAAAGGGCCAGTATGCAAAATTTTCATTTCCAAAATGTTGTATATTATACCTGGAAATATTTCTAAAATATTTTGTTTTCAAAGGGTTAATTAAAAACGGAGAGCACTAATTGTTAATTAAAGCAGTTTGACCTAGTTAAAGAAGGTTTTATATTTGGAATTGCAGGAACCACGGATGTCTGACTGAAAATTGGAACTGTGCAAATAAATAAACCAATGATCTGAAGCACATTTTGGTGAAACATTGGTAGCAGCTTATGAACTTTTAACATGAGGAAGTATATCCTAATGAAAAGTGGTATCAGGTGTCCAGAAGATACTTTAAGTGTCCCAATACATATTAAAAAGTTTAGAACCCTCTTTACAATCCCTTTAAAATCAAGATTGAGAAAAGATTTGCAGAAACCTCTATCAGCGACACTTATCAAATAGGAACACATGTATGATATCCATTGCCTTTAAATTAAATCAGAAATCAGAAAAGTTGACAAGTAAATGTCTCATGTTTGACATATTTAAATGCATTTCATTGAAATTCAAAGAGAACCCCTGAGGATTTTACCCTATATATAACATTACAAATAATTTATAGAGCAGAGCTGATAGCTTGCCAACTTTCTATCTAGAATATTCACTTGTTTCATCTTATTACTAAAAGTCAATAAAATACATTAGTATTCTACAAGACAAGTCAAGGTTTGAATTCACCAGCACAATTTTCTCCAATCGAAATGAAGTTTTCCTACTTTTCTGCTCTAATTGGGCTAATCAAGATGGATAACTCTATGCAATGTGCAATTAGTCTCTTGCTTTTCTATTTTCAACTCTCAAGAGGTACTTGCATCTTCACAATGTCAAGCTATTATTAACTGCGTCTTACATCATGACTGCAATAGGCACCTTGTATTACGAAAGATTGTAAATGAAGCTATTTGGTTTGTGTGCTGCCAAAAGCATTGATTACATATGCAGCCAGTCTTTCTATCTAGTTCACTGATTTCGCTGTTTTCACTAGCGTACAAATCTAATCAAATCGTTGTCTTTATAAACTACCGTGATGCAAAATAGTGACTATTGTAGTCAAGGTATAAGAGGCAGATTGTAATTTGTTAATTGTACTGTCCAAAAAGTAGACAATTTTTGTCAAATATAGTTTGAAGCTGCCCTGAAGATATGATAGAGGTTTTCCAATTTTTTTTGTGTATCAGGGACACTGATAGCATTCATCAGCACCATTTCAGATGTCTGTGGCTCCTGCAATTCCACTAAATCTAAGAGCTTGATGACGTCAATAATCACAAAATATGCTTTATCACATAAGGCCCTTCACGATTAGTGACGTCATCAAATGCTTAGTTTTAGTAGAATTGCAGGAACCACAGACATCTGATTGAAAATTAAAACGATTCAAATTGATGCTATCAGTTTTCTCGACACACAAAAAAAAGTTGAAAGAAAACCTTTTTACAATCCCTTTAAGTAAGCTTAAGCCTTGACTAAAAGCTGATATACTTCATTGACACAATATTCTTAATCAGGAGAAATCTCATCTATTGTTTGAGCTAATTTTAGAATGTTATTCCTAGCAACAAGTATATATCACCAAATAATAATAAGATTAAGTTACACAAAAAAACTGCTAATTAGCTGAAAAAGCAAATGTTTACATGTATTTTCCTTAGTGATGAATAGATTAAAGTGTTCAATAACTGTGTTATTATTTCATAGGGTAGTATAGCAGACACGCCTTGTAATCATTATGTTCTATAAGCTCACTGACAGGCCTTGTCCTATTCATCTAGCTAGCACCTAATATTCCCTGGTGACCTACTCATTGTCACCCTTATTTTACTTGGTTATTTTCATCATTCAAAAAATCTTTATATATGATCCTTTATAAAGATCTCTCTACAGTTGGAAATTTAAAATTAATAAGCTTATACCACTGTCCTGGCAAAATTACCCTCATTGCACACTGTTTGATGACATCACTAATCACAAAATATTCTTTATTACATAAGGCCCTTAATAATTAGTGATGTCATCAAACACTTACTTTTAGTGCAATTGCAGGAACCACAGACGTCTGATGATTGATGCTATCAGTGTCCCTGATACACATAAAAAATGTAGAAAACCTCTTTACAATCCGAAAAAATTTGTATGCAATAAGCATCTCTGAATTTGACAAATTATCAACAAATATTTAATCTAGCTTGATAAGCACTGAAAAGCAATGAGATAAGATGGTATTACAGGAAAAATTGAACCTTTTTGAAAAATGTGTGTACCAGCATCTTAAATTCATATTATAAATACCTTATGATTATGAAAAGACCACTATCTGTGAAATATTAACATGAATTGAACTTCTTCAAGGCCTATATACCACAACCTTGCAGCCTTTGCTTAGCAAAATGCCACCCAGTAACAATTGTTCGGTGTTCATGAATCTTCATTTTCTGCTCTGTGACATTCATACATTATTTTTTAGATTTTTTTCAAATTTATTAATAAATGTAATGCTTATCTCTATCATTAATTATAAATTTTGTTCGGTCCTTCAAAATTATTTTCTTTTACTAATTTTACTATAATATTAACACCACAATAGTTGTAATCAAAACTTAAACCCTGTGCCAGTGCCTTTTATTGAACAGTAACCCGTTACTTTCAATCACCATAATCTCTACCAAATAATACACCTAATGTTAAATTTCAAAAGGTTCAATATTGTATTGTATTAAATTCTGCAAATATGACAATCATTTTTTATGAACAAAAGCCAATTGATAAAAATTTCAGATTAAAATCAATAATATAGACCTGATCACTAAGGTCAAACCTCTTCTTATCTTTATAACATTCACTTGGCTATGTTTGTTTATTATCAAACCCCAATAAAAAGACTTGACAATCATAAATCTAGCTGAACAACAGACTTCTAAATGTGGCACTTGATCTTTACAAATCAGACCATATTAAACTCTTTTAAATATCTAATAGGGCGTAGGTTTGGTACGATTTTATGTCAAGCTATATAAAGAACTTAATTGATATCTATTTCAGTAGTATTCATATATTATGATAGCAAACAAAAAGCAAATATTGGTTAATCCTGGGTGGACCCTCAAAATCTACAAATCCTTGCCCATGCAAACAGTACAAAAACTCATAAAAAATGATATGGATCTATGGATCACTTTTCATAATGCTTCCATTAACCAGCTACAAGAGATTATAAAAATTCAGGTGTCAAAATATCTTCTCAAATTCAAATCTAATACCCCTTTTTACAACTTTTTAATTTTGAGTAACCATATCTGGCAATGCTTACAGCAAGCTTTGATATTTACAAATGGGTGCCTGGCCAAGCACAATTTGATCAGGAACTGACACTTCAGACACAAGTGGTCTTAAACAGGTCTAACCAGTATATGGAAAAGTATACCATGCCTAGATTACCACATCTTCTGCAAATTATTATTATTGTCTGCCATTTTGACACAATGTGGACTTTTTCTACCTTTTTGTTAGAGAGCTTATCTTTCGGCATTTAATACCTTAATGTAAATTATGGACAAATTTATCAGGATGAGGTATCATACCAGATGAGGACCAAGTGTGAAAGAGAAATTACATCAAGTTTTCACTTATTTGTCAAAAAAAAAATACCAGGAAAAAAAGATTCTTCTCTGATAGGGCGCATTATATACCTTGTCAAGTCACTCAAATGCAGTCATAATCTACCAATGATACTGGTTAATATTTTCAACAAAAACAATATCTAAATATCTTTATCCAGTGTAATTTTATGAATGTGTTTATTAAATACAATTATAATGTCAATAGTTATGCAGGAAATAGTTGGTCTCTTATCATAAGTTAACAATATTTAATAGGCTTCACATTGTCAGAATTATTGTCAATTTTATCTTGACAAGTTTACCACATCATAAATTCAAAGAAATCCACAAACAAAAACACACCCATCTAAATACTTGTGTATGTATCTGTCTGAGCGAATGATAACAGGGAACATTAGGCAGTGTGCAATGAAGGAACTTTTGCTAGGACACCGGCATTAGTCTGCTTTAGAATTCCAACTGTCAAGGGATCTTTAATGTACACAGCCTGTAGCAAACTGGCCCTTGGTTTATTGTCCCGTATAAAAGGCTTGGAGAGTCGGAAGATATTATCTTGACCTATGCAGGGATTCACCCTTGGACCTTGGTTAGCTCTTTTTCGATTTCCAACAGTCGAGGGATCTTTAACGTGCACAGCCTGTAGCATACAGGGCCTCGGTTTATTGTCCCATCCAAACAACTAGATACGTTTTTCATGTCAGCCCAATATCACGAAAATAAAAGGTTGAAAAATCCAAAGATATTTTCTCAACCTATGCTGGGATAGAACCCTGAACCAAGCGAGCAAGCAAGCGTGTTACTCACTGAGCCAGCATGACTCCAAGTGTTGAATTTATTATCATGAATATTACATACAATGGTTTGTATGTGCTTATCTTCATATTTTACAAACATGTATTATTAAAAGAAGACGCTGTATATTATAAAAGAAGATAAGACTAGGCTTGTATCAATATAATCTAGTTGAATGAACATAATTTAAATCATGTAAAATCATCACCTTATATCTTACTATAAAATTCAGTTTAAAAGCAGACTAGCAATGAGTCATTATTGGTTGTTTTGACTTTGAATAAAGTTTTTACATTATTTATCTCATTAAGAATATAATGGAACAGATTTGTAATATATTGGGCTGTAGAAGTCTATAGAAGTATCAATGTATTGAAATTTGTTCACTGCATTTATGTATTTTTGTTTCTGATTACAAATCATTTTATTCTCAAGCCTACTGCAGGAACTAGCTGAGCTGCCTGCTTGCCTCAAAACTCACCATGTGTGGATATCTAAGCTGCCAGATGAGGTAAAAAAAAAAGTAACTCACTGATAGAAATGCTTAGCTCAGCTAGTTCCTCACGCTTGCGACTTGGTTTAAGCTCTCCTCAAAGCAGATTTTAACAGTTCCAGTATGATTTGAAGAGGAAATCTTGAAATCAAAGTTCAGTGTAGGTCTGTCCTGTGTTAGAAATATAAACTAACTTACCTCGCCGAATGCGCCTCTTCCTATCACTTTTAATGGTGAGAAATCATCCACACCTAATCGAGATCTTTTTAAACGTAAAAATTCTGTTTCTTTGGTTGCATGTTGTTGTCTTCTTTCATTTTTCTAAAAAAAAAAAAAAATCATCTTGACCATCTTTGAGCAAGTCATAATTTTTTTTTCCATTTTCAGAATGGATAATTAGAAAGATCAAATCTTAAATCACTATCACATAAAGTTCGAGAGCTTTGAAAGATGGGTTCCCTTATTTTCATTATGATAGTAGAGGTGTTCTTGGAAAAATACCAATTATATTTTTAATTATGTCCATAATTAATTCATAATTAGCAAAATTAGAAGAGAATTACCAGCAGAATTCCGATGAGTGACCGATCAAGAAAGGTCAAAAAGTATTTTTATGTTTATCCAGATATATACATGGGCATTTATGATTGGTTAAGACTCTTAATTATATGCAATAAGGACACAATGATATGATTAAGAATACATGATAATAGTTTGCTAAATTTGACTCTAAAAAATTAGGAAACCAATCTTAAAGGATTTATTCATGCAAATGTTTGTTTTATTAGCTGACAACATCAAATTTCAGCTATACGTTACTGTATCACTAATCAAAATGAAAATCTAATGACTGGTGTAGTGCCACAATCAAAGAGAATTTTTTTTTTTAACTCTTGAACCAATGCTTCTGGACTAATAAAAAAAAAAAAAGCGATTACTTGTTATCTGTAGAGAATATAAATTGTTTCATACTTATATTCTTTAAATAATATTTAGAAGTAGACGTAATATTAGAAAATAAACACTATTATGGATATATACTACTCCTATCTTTAATTTAACAATGTTCCAATTCACATACAGGAATCTTTATCAAGAATACATAAAGATAATGATAAAGATTCTTGTATGTGAATTGAAAAGTTACTAAAATTAAAGAAAGGAGTGGTATATCCATAATAGTATGTAAATTTGTTAGAGAGTTATCTGGAATCAAGTCCCACCACAAAATAGTCTATCATCTAGGGTTTTTTTTTGAATAAGCTAACACATATTTTTTTCAAAGTTTTATTTCTTTTCTTGCACCATTGAATCTTTTCAGCTGTACTTTGTATAAAGTTTCTACGCTTGATGGGTTTGAATTATATTACAAAAGCGTCAAGAAAAATTCTTAAAAATATCTTTAGAATTTAAACATGAATGATATGATTATCTACTAGTATACTTTTTCCCGCTTCAAACAAATTTAAATTTTCACTATCCCACGCAATAGTAAAGGAAAGTAAAATTTTTAAAAAAAATTTCAAAAAGAAATAGGCACATGTTTAGTGCATGAGAAAATAAACAGGTACGCCACAAACTTGATCTGATTATTAATAATTCAGTCTTGAAGAAGTTTTAAAAGATACTTCAAAAAATACAAATATAACAATTTTGAATCTATAGGTAAATATAAATAAGCCAAGTACTAACGATCCTAACCGCAAAACGAAACCCAAAATCCAAATAACACACTGGCAGACATTGGTAGCAACTAATGAACTTTTCACATGAGGAAGTATATCAATCATAAATGAATTAAGTATTTCACAATGAAAAGTGGTATCAGGTGTCTAGAAGAGAGGATTCAGGTGTCTAGAAAAGTGGTATCAGGTGTCTAGAAGAGTAAGCATACCCTGCCTGGTGACACACCCATTGTAGTGGCTCATGAGAGAATTTTTCTCTTATCAGTGTATGTGAGTAAATGCTCTTCAGAAAAAAAGTTAAAAAAAACTTTACAATGTATATATTTTTAGACCTATATGTAAGAAGCTTTTTTCTGTAGTAAATCAACAACAAAGACTGAATTACATGTATTTTTAGTATAACATATTACATGTCAACTCTGACTTCAATCACTAATTGATGTTGTCTGTGGTTGCTAGGGTGGGGCAGATAACTCACATCTACCTTTGTATAAAGATCAAACTAATTAACAGCCTTATTATGATTAGTTTTTTATTACATTACGATTATTGTAAACCAATTGAAAACAAGCATAACCTTTTGATCTGAATGTTTCGTTTTAATCTAAATGCCATCTTGATTTAGCATAGTTAATTTTGATACGTGGAGGATATGGTTTTTAACCAATTAGATTCATCGACTTAACCTTTTTCTCTGAGATTTTACTTTAAAGAAGCACCTTCACTATCCGTTCAACTAATCATACCTTAGTTTCAGAAACAGGAATTTTTTAAGCTTACATAATCAGTAATAGTGTTCACAGCTCATCGTCAAATTTGTAGCCTTCAAATCCATGTGTATCCATAATTATTCACATTTGAAAGTTAAAAATTTGACTCGAATTTAAGTAAGACTATGCCATATATAGAAAACACAAGTGAAATTTCTAGTTTGAGGTACATTTGAAGGGATTATGTGATTTTCGTGCATTTTAGTCCTTCTTAAGACTATTAGAGCACAATAAAGACCCAAATCAATCCCCAAAAATGCCGACTGTTCTCTTTTCATCTGGGTATCATTCATAATTTGCAACCATATGCAACTGATATTCGGTATGGTGTGAGGGCACTTTTAGGTTGAAACATAGTTGAAAGTGAACTCAATAATGATTTTGTTTTAATTGCCAACACTTTCCAAAAATTTCTTGAACTTTAGATTAGAATGTTTGGCAAGTAAGTACAGACGATCTAAAATGTTTCCTTTTTTTCTGGGGATAACTTCAATCAAAAACATAAAATGTTTGGCCAAAGAGAGTCAAAATATCCTTCTGATATAGACTCTAGCATTTCTTACTCTACACTGTTTATCAACAACCCTCTCTCAAAATACTTATCATTTACACAAAATGATTATATTATCATTGAAAAGAATGTGTATTTGAATTGTGACCACTTGAAATGTTTTAAGGGTTAATAACCACTTTGATCTTTAATGATATACTGATTACATATCAGAAATACATGTAAATAAATAAAATCAACAAGTTACTGGCTCTACTATACTATATTGTAATGACCTATATATCTCTATTTGCTAATATAGTACAGGGTGGGGTTCTTATTGCTTAATTTTGAAGCATTGTGTCAACTTCCTTCTTGTAGTGTCAAGTGACCTTTTTTAGCTGAGCTAATCAGTAATAGTGTTCACAGTACACTGTCGAAATTGGAGCCTTCAAATCCAAGTGTGTCTAGAATTATCTGCATTTGAATGTTAAAATGACGACTCTTCAATTTAAGATACTCTGTGATATACAGAGAAGACATATATAGAAATAGTGAGAAAAATTCCTAGTTTGAAGTATTTTTGAAGGAATTATGCGGTTTTCTTACATTTCTAGTACTTCTGAAGACTATAATTTACATATTTTCAAGACTCAAATCAATCCCAAAAAATGGTGCAATTGTCCCTTTAAGGATATCGTATGCTACGAACATAACAACCTAGAGTCTATCAGTACATAATATTTTAAACTAACCCATTGGGCAAGTAACTAAATTGTAACTATTGTGAATTATGTAGTTCTAGATCCAATGAAATATATAGAAGATTAACAGAAGAAAACTAGCTAGCTATTCCAATTTTTCAATAAAGTATTTGTTCTACTCCTGATTGCCTTATCGGGGAGCCGCAGTGGCTCAGTGAGTTAGACACTTGCTCGCTAACCTGAAGGTCCAGGGTTCAATTCCGGCGTAGTTCGAGATTGTACCTTCAGATTTTTCAACCCGGTTTCCCCCTGTCAGTGATGCAGGTAAGAGAGGCTGACATGGAAAAAGCGTCTAGTCGTTCGAATGGGACAATAAACCGAGGCCCCGTTTGCAACAGACTGTGCATGTTAAAGATCCCTCAACAGTTGGAAATCGAAAGAGGGCAGACTAATGCTGCTGTCCTGGCAAAATTTCCCTCATTGCACCCTGCATGGCTTTGCCTTTCTTCATTAGCCCACATGGTGCAGAAAAGCGGGATGTAAAACTCCATTCATTTCTTATTAGATTCATTGACATTAGATCTAAACTTTTTCTAAGTGGATTACGTACAACTCCATTCATTTCATTTTTAAGTTGATTTGATTCTCCCAAATGTAAAAACGCAACAACAAGGCAATGTAGGAAGACAAAATGGCGGATCCTCAACATCGATTTGCAGAATTTTTTGAAGGGAAAAAAAGATTTATTTCACTGTGTGTATAATGTGCACCCCCTTCTGTAAGAGGCCCATTTTGGGGTAAAAACTGTGCATTATAAATACGGAAAAATAGGGTAGATAGAAAAAACTAAATTTTAGAAAAATTTGATTATGTTTAACAAATACACAAGTACATGTGTATTAAATGGACATACTGAGCACTGTGATAGAGAACAGATGACGTAGGTAGAAGAAGCAGCTTTTGGTATGAAGTATAAACGGACTCAAAGCATCATTGATATATCAGTATAATATCACATAAAATATGCATAGAGTAAAATCTCATTAAACGATATATGACATGTAATATGAACGATATGATTGTTGAAAGATAGCAAAAGTCTGCCAGGTTTTATTTCAATTATATACCAGATGTATGGACTATTTATCGCCTAGTTAATCAAAAATCAATTATTGTAACAGTTGACGTGAAAGATATTATACTAATCTATATCTGGTGTGTTATAATAGTCCTTATAATAGTACTATATTTACTTATCACCTTTTGAAAATTACTAAAGGTGGACTTTGATCTACTGGCAATTGAAATTATAAGTCAATATGAGCCAAGTGTCCCAAAAATTTATTTCATAGGAATAAATGAACGTTCACTGATTCCAATTGCACAGATTAGTGACAAGTTCCACTTTATGGTTGAAAGTTGAGCTAGCAGCAACATTTTTTTCAGTTGTTGGTGTGTTCAGGTTGGACAAAAACCAGCAATTACTCAGATTCCATGATTCAATGAAAATCCAGAAATTGCTGTAAAATTCTGGAAGTCACAAGATTGTCCTAAGACATCTTTAATGTCACAGTTTTCTAAGAGCTATTAGAAGAAAGGTATAGAAAGTGCTGGAAAATCGAACATAAAATCTTAATAAGATAAGATTTATTTTTCAGGGCTACCACACTTCACACTTACAGCATCTTAATAAAATTCAAAGTCAAAATATCATTGGTAAATGTATTTTTTCTAATCACACCAATATAAACATCAAAGAAGCACTCACACCACAAAGATTACCTGTTGCATATGGTTGCAAAAAATTAAGTGGCCATGGGTTCCAAACTTATAACTCAGTTGCATGAGAGTCATGTTTGAAACACTAACAGCTATTCATATTCGCAATCATATTCAGCTGGTGATTGCTATGGTGTGAGGGCACCTTTACTGAAGAAAAAATTGAAAACTTACTTGTTCTGCTGAAAGCCCTTCTTCTTCCATAGATTGTTCTAATAACCTATACCTGAAAAAACAAACCAGAAAAAAGGTCAATTAGACTAATTACTGACTGTATCTGAAATCAAGATTGAAGGGATTGTACCTGGGACTTCTTCACAACAAAAATGTGTCCAATTCAATCAGCTAACTGCATATCTTGCAATTACCCTGTGATATAATTAGCAACTTCTGCAAAAAGTGTGTCAAAGTTTAAGTGCATCTGCAAGATCCACTGAAAATTGGAAGGTGCATTGGACAGTGTCCACAATACAAAAAAAAAATTTTTGTCACAACATTTTATCACCTGGTTAACAACATTACAAAGATGACTACGTGCGTATCCCACGAACTTTCAATTTCCATTCCTTTGTCTATGAGTACTAAGTGTACTCAGTAAGGTCATTATAAGGAAGTTGAATTTAGCCAAACAATATCCTGAATTGGTTATCTAGTATCACATGTTAGTTACATGTCAGAGCTTTTGAAATATGCAACATAATCAATCAATCTAAATGTTTACTGTCATTTAGCCACAAATATTTTAAACACAAATCAGTTAGATACAGTACTTTATAAGCAAACCTTCAATCAAGCAAATATTTACTTTTTAGGAACTCTAATATTCATCAGAATGTCATATTTTCATTAAGGGACTCTCTTTTTAGGCTTGTCTATATGTGCCTAAATGACCTACATGTGCCTAAATAACCTACACGTGCCTAAATGACCTACATGTGCCTAAATAACCTACATGTGCCTAAATAACCTACATGTGCCTAGATGACTATGTGCCTATTAAGAGAAGGTGTATCTTACTGTTGTGCTTAAAATATCTGTGCCCCTGTGACTGCTTACCAAACCTGAAAGCTTATTTGGAAAAAAAATCTCTCATTGGTTGAATTTTTTTCTGAAACCTTGCTTGAACACAGACATCTTTACTATCTATTTAATAATGTAAGGAAATGGAAATACATTTGACATCCTAGTGCTGGGATACCTTGCTGTTTGCAATGAGGGAAATTGGCAAGACATCAGCACTACTAAAATACTAATCTAATACAAAACTGCCATAGGATCTTTAACTCTCAATTAAGAAGAATTAAAAGAAGCTTAACCTTTCAATGATACCATATTACAGAGAAAAAAACCAATAAAAAATCTTAATTATCACCTAATAATTTTTTCAAACACCTGATAGCAGTTCAAAGGTAATCCTCAAGTTCAAATAGACATATAAACTATTAACTGTCAATAATATTTGACAAAAAGTAATTAATGGTCATGTAAAAGTCAAAATAAAGCATGAAATGTGATTTATGTCCCCAAAGAACTCATCTTTACTAATCTATAAATACAATAATATTGATATTTCACTTTAAAGGAATAGTTTGTCTTGACAATTTGAGATGATATTATACCCGATGGTACTTCTCTTTAGGAGTCCAATACCGTACAACTTTTTTTGGGATTTTGCTATACTTTGGATGAGATCGAGATTAAAGGAATTGTCTCGCTTGTATGGATTTTTATTCTTATCAATTTCAGAATTCAATCAACATCACTAACTCTGGTTTCCTTCAAGCAGGTTTCTTTATGACATAATGTCAAATTGTAAATAAAGTTGATCAAATAATTAAGGATTTAAATATACTTAACAATATATCTCCCCTCTGCCACAGAAGTTTTCCGAGAACATTGGCCATCACACACAAAAGATAGTGGACCACAGCTATATACGCCCACCAAGACATGCGGATGGTAAATATTCAAGATTTTGGGGCAAGGGCAATAACTCTGCTTCTAATGGTCAAAAATAGCTCAAATTCGAACTTGATCTTCGTTTTATGAATATGTATACACATACCCAATTTCATTTGATTCCATCAAAAAATCTAGTTTTTAGAGCGTTTACAAGCAATGTTGATGGACGGACGAAGAGGGGTGCCGACAATATACGTCCACATAGAGAGATGTGGGCGTATAAAAATGACTGTGAATCTCCTCTTCTGAAACAAACTTATCAAAGCTTTGAAAAAAAATTTTTGATTTTCTTCCTATAATTGAATATTAGTGGTTGACTATATTAATGACAAGTGAAGTTACCCACAGAAAAAAAAAAGGAACAAAATATTAAGATACGAGCAAGTTATTAAGTGTGGTTTATATAAATAATCAGTAATTTGTAACTGATCAGTATTTATATTCACTTATCAATTTCACTACATAAAAAACTCCTGTCAAATATTGATTCAAAGTCTATGTATACTGACGTCAAACTTGTCACCTTGTTATAAATATTGAAACACATACACATTTTAGTGCAACTTGGTTACCAACTTTGCTGTTAAAAAATGTGATTTGTAGCCATAAAGATTGTTAATTCATATTTAAGGTAGGGGAAATAACTCAAATTCCGTTGATCGAAAAATTGTCAAATTTAATCTTGACTAAAATCTGATCATTTTAAATGATCATACCAAATTTCATTTAAATCGGATGAAAACTGTACTCTATTATGTGCACAAACAAATTTTTGACAATTTTTTCATAAATCAAGGGCAATAACTCAAAAACCAATTATCGAAAAATAGCCAAATTCGAACTTGTCCAAGATCTCATCATTATAAATATTAACACCAAATTTCATTTAAATTGGATGAAAACTGTAGTCTTTATTGTGTTCACAAACAAGATTGCTAATTCATATTTAAGGTATAAGAATACAATTTCAAACTAAAATCTTGTTAAACTTGTTAAAGGGACAGATGCTCCTCTCTTTATCACCAATCATACTTTAGTCTCAAAAACAGAAATTTTTTAGTTAAGCCAATCAGTAATAGTGTTCACAGTACACTGTCAAAATTTGAGATTTCAAATCTACGTGTGTACAAGATTATCCACGTTGGACTATTAAAATGACGACTAATCATTTTAAGATACTCTGTGATATGTAGAAAAAATATAAACAGTTGGTAAATTAGTTTGAAGTATTTTTGAAGGAATTATGCTATTTTCATACATTTCTAGTACTTCTGAAGACGATTTACATATTTCACGACTAAAATCAACCCTCTAAAATGGCGCATCTGTCCTTTTAACTTGCATATTATTTCAATTTTTTTACACCTTAAAATTTCATATTAAATACCATTAAAAAAAAAAATGTGCCAATATTTGATGAACAGTTGAACCCTGTCTTTGTAGATTCAACTACAAAAGATCTAACAGAAATGCCTCAAGAAAAAAACTGTATTCCAATTGATGATAAGGAAACAGGAACTTGAGAGATGGCTGGCCACAAAATGGAAACATGTTCACAAACAAATTTAGGGTGGTTGTTGGGAATTGGTAGGACTATACCAATTGTTTGTTGATAAACAAAACTGTGAATACTAGGTCATCTCAAACATTTGGTCAGCCTACACATTGTTTTTCACTAGATCAATTTTCTTGAGAAGTTTGACAGTGTAACTAGACTTTTAACATTAATGGCCTCAACCTTTCCTTAAACTGAACACTGTGGTAATTTAGTATTTTTGCATGAATAATGTCAAATGACTAGCTTATAAAAAAATAGATAAGCTTAGTTATTTATATAGCTGATAAAGGTTCATTTCATTTTTATGATTGGAAATATATAATAAGTTTCATCCAAAACTATAAACAAACACTAACAATACAGGCTTTGAATAGTACACAATATATGCACTTAAAGGGACAGATGTGCCATTTTATGGGGTTGATTTTAGTCTTGAGTATAAGTAAATAATCTTCAGAAATACTAGAAATAGAAGAAAATCACATAATTCCTTTAAAATTACTTCAAATTAGAATTTTACTCACTGTTTCTATATATATCTTTTCTATATATCACAGAGTCAGTCATCATTTTAACATTCAAACGCGGATAATTCTGGACACATGTGGATTCGAAGGCTCAAATTTTGTTGGTGAGCTGTGAACACTATTACTGATAAGTTCAGCTAAAAAATTCGAGTTTCTGAGACTTAAGTATGATTGGTCAAAAAAATGGGCCACCTGTCCCTTTAAATATTAACTGGCCACCATATAACACTATGATATGTGGCAGAGCTTCCAACGTTTTCAATTTCCTATATATAACAATTTTACAAACTATTCAGACTTTTATTGTAAAAGTTTAAATTCAAAATTCAAAAAGAACATTGAAGCAATAGGCACCATGTGACATTATAGATAATTCAAATTATCACCTTTTCATCACTTCTCAAATTGACTAAAAACTCATAATCTGGTCAAATTTGTGTTTTCTTAAAGTCTGACTCATCACGCAGAAAAAATACAACGAATAAAATGATATGAATTGAAAATATTGATTTACATGAAATACTGTCATGGGATTTGAATATTACAAATAATTTTGACATTCAAGAAGTTTGTATTAGCTCTAATTTGACAATGGAGAACATTCTAAGTCAACTAAAAATTCCATTTGAGCTGACAGAATTCTCTATAATGAATTCCAAATAGTCTGTTTTATGGAAATTAACTTTTCAAACCAAGCTACATTAAAATATTCGTTCATGGATAAAGGACAGAAAATAAAATCAGGAAAAATAAAAAAAAGGGAAAAATATCCCCAAAAACGTCTTGAACTATGCCAGGATTGAACCCTGGATCTTCAGGTTAGCGAGCAAGTGTCTAACTCACTGAGCCACTGTGGATCCCTGCAAATTTTTAAGATAAGCTCTAGTATTTAATATAACATTGAAATACAGTAAGCTTTTAACCATGCAATTCAAGCATCAGCCTCATTAAAATAAGGGTACTGATAAGGGAGTCGACTGACTACATGGAACAGATTATTATAAGACTCCAAATATGAAAGAGCCATAAGCCCATAAATAGGATAAAAACAAGCTTTTGAAAAAGCTTACACAGTAATTTTTGGAGTCATGGTGAGCCAGCATAGTCAGTCACCTGATATTGATTCTTCACCAGACAATACCAGTACACTGTAAAGGTTCTAAATTCATGCCATCATCATGACATGTTGGCATTGGAATTGTCAGGTGTTTTTTCTTCCATTTCCATCAAGACAAAATACTAAAATAAAAACAAAATCCAACTCACCTGTTTTCTCTTTCTGCATGATGTGCTTCAAGATTAGAGAAATAGTTTTCTAATGTTACTTTAGCCTTTGTTGAACGGTCAATGGTATGATTACTGATCGGTGCAGTTTCTCCTACCGTGGCCATCTTGGAGCGGCGACCCTGAAAAACATCAGAAAATACATGAAACATCCTCTGTCGACAATCTATACTTGACAATGACAATGATACAGTAATTCACCTAATGCGTTGAAAACAAAAACTTAAAATTCCTGACTGACAGTCCAAGTTCAATATTTAAAGTTCTCATTCTTGGATGCACCAAAAGGTTTGAAAATAAAAAAAAATTTAAGAAGATTAAAAGAGATATTTAAAGCTGTTTTAATACTTGATTTGACAGTCAATAGAGTCCAATTTCAGCCAACTGTATCACTTTTCAAAATTACAAACGTTACTAGTGTTACTGCACTCATTTTTAGAATGTTAACATTTCAAATGCACATAACACAATCTGAATGTAACAGATCTTCCACATTTTTGCTTAATTGTATAGGAACAGTAAGTTATATTCCCATTCTGGAAAATAATGCAGACTGGAAAAATTAAGCTCAAATCATCTAGAGCAAAAAGCACTAAACAAAACAAATTCAAATGGTCCAAATTTAATCGAAAGCTAATATTTCTGAATTTTAATCAAAAATCCATAACAATATACGGGTACCGCCAGCAAACTACAAAACAAATTTTAAAATGAAAAATGTCCAAAATTTAAATAAAAGCTAAAAGTTAAGCAACTGACCTGAAGTCCAATTTCTCATGAGACAAAAGGAAATAAGTACACTATAATAATGTCATAAGTAACTGAGAGATCCTGTATTAAACCTAGTACCGGTATGTATTATATGATTGGTTATTAATAATGTTTACTAATAAATATGATATATTCAGATAATGACCTCATATTTACCTTTAACCTAGTCAATATACATGTGTATTACATATCTATATATCATGCTTCATTGATTTTCCTATGTTTAATTATATACATGGACTAGCCAATGTTTAAAGATACACTCACAATGGAGTGTTGATATTTGGAAAAAAGCTTGTACGCAAAGTAAATCAGTAATAGTGTTTACAGTTCACTGTCAAAATTCAAAGCCTTAAAATACATGTGTCCAAAATTATCTGTGTTTGAAAGTTGACTAGATTTTCCAAGGTTATTTTGAAATGAAATGGAATGAAAAGGAGTTTTACATCCTACTTTTCTGCACCATGTGGGCTAATGAAGACGGGCAACGCCATGCAGGGTACAATGAAGGAAATTTTGCCAGGACATCAGCATTAGCCTGCTCTTTTTCAATTTTCATCTGTCGAGGGATCTTTAATGCGCACAGTCTGTATGTAGCACATGGGGCCTCGGTTTATTGTCACATCCGAATGACTAGCAAGGTTATTTTGAAGGAGTTATAAATTTTTCGTATATTTCTGGCACTTCTGAAGACTAATTACATATATTCAAGAATAAAATCAACCCTGAAAACAGCTAAGCTGTCCCTTTAAATCAAAACAAATACGCAAATAATCATTATTGTCTATGTTGAAAAACCCAGTTGCAGAGTGGCAACAAGTGAGCATGATCTGGTAAGAAACAATGTCTTCAATAAGGACAATTCACAACTCAAACTGAGATCATCTCATTAATAATCTATAACAATAGATTCTTTATTTTCCTCATTTACCCTATGACATCATATAGAAAATAACCTGTTCATCATGAAGGATGAATGAAAACATATTCAGAATAAATGAAGGCAACTGCTGTGGTGCACAATCTAAAAATACTCTGGTAATGACTGGATGACAGCCAAATAATCTAAATATATCCACTGTTTATTTTTAATACTATAACTCCCTCACATTATAAGTTTCTTTTCTAATCATTTCCTTCTTTCTTCTTATGATATGAAGTTAGACTGGATGTTGATGAATAAATTACACGGAAAACAGAGATGAGAATATCTCACTACAAATAATCTTAAAGGGACAGATGCACCATTTTTTTTACCAATCATTCTTCAGTCTCAGAAACAGGAATTTTTTTTAGCTAAGCTAATCAGTAATAGTGTTCACAGTTCACCATTGCAATTTGATTCTTTAAATCCATGTGTGTCTAGAATTATCTGTGATTGAATGAATATATTAAGAAGCTTACTCTGTGATATATAGAAAGGACATTTATATATAGAGAAAGTGAATAGATGCATCTAGAATTCTAGAAATATCAATATGCAGCAGTATACATGATTACACTTCTAGTTAATTTGACACCTGTAATTGTACTGAACACCTGTTACAAACTAAATCTTCTTTAACTCAGTAGTTCTAATGCAACCTTTTTATAATAAGTATGAACTATTTTGAAAATGTCACAAAAAGATAACTAAATCATTAACAAAGTGAATTATGTGGCATTGGTTACTTTAAGACAATTGATTTGTGCCAAGCTGCCAACAGTTTTTGGAGCCTTTGTGAAAATTTTAAATTGAACATTGTATCTTCACATAGTCAAGCCTTTACGAAATGTGTTCAATACCTTGACCATTGCATTAAGGAAGTTTGTAATTGCAGCAATCTGATTGGATTGTAGACTATTGCAGTCAAGGTATTTGACACAGTTCATAATAGCTTGACATTGAGAAGAAGCCCTAACCATGGTACTGGGTACCGTACAAAGAGTTTCAGAAAAACATGATGAGTTTTTCAAGTACCTCCTATCATGACTGTGTTAGAGGAAACATTTAATAAGTTTTAGGTATATGACTCAAGCCTTCCCTAATCTTAAACATAACTTTCACTTCCTATAAAGGTCATATAGTTTGGGTGTGTCATCTTCACCTTTTAAACATGTGTTTTTCCATCACTTTTTGTCATTTCATTCTATAAAAAACCCAATAAGTCAGTCAACTTCAATATTAACTAAATCAAACTACCTTCTAAGATATGATCAAATATTCTTGCTTCATTAGGTGAAAGCTGAATTTCAGTATTTGTAACTCGTTTGAAAATCAAAAATAAAAGGTACGGTATGGCCTCTCTAAATGAAATAACTTTTGGGAGCTGAGATGATGACATTTTGAGTTTTCAGTTACAATACACTCCCTAAATAGCATCTTTTACAAAAGGTCAAGGTGAAGCGTTTGGTTCAAGGTCAAGACCTAGGAAAAAAAAATTGCTCAATTCAAATTAAACAATGAAATAAATTTTAAGGGTCAACAGAAATTCTTCAAAATTTCTCTCCTGTGTAAAATTTTTTTGCAGATTACAAGTGTTACATGATAGGAAAAGTTGATTGGATTTGGAAGCTGATGAAAATTTCAAGAATCTTTCTATTTTCAGTTCTTAATACATATGCAATACTGTATGTCAATTTGATAAGTTTATTTATCATGTGTTAAGTTGATAATTACTCAGTAGGCAACTGAATTTAGAATGAATCCTTCCAAAAAAGAAAAACAATTTGAGAAAAAAAAAAACAGAGTAAACATGACAGAACCTTTACTGGACCACGTTCAAATTAATCAAATAGATTTAGAGAAGAAAAGAGAGCGGTCAAAACAATGGAGGCCAATTTACCAGAGTCTTACTAAAATAAACAAAATCTGCTACTGAGAATGAAATATGCACTCTCACTCACCATCATGTACACAACCCTGCCATTTTTCTAGCAGTGAATTAAAGTGATAAATAGTTTCCCTAGATCAAAAGAAGAAAAGTGTAAGGCCATACACCTGGTCAATGTCTTCCCTACCAACAACCATCCTTTTATTTTATCTTTTTTAAAACAACCTGATAATAGTCTAGACATTATCACTGGTAGTTAGGATTGCCATTTCCTTACCACAAGACTACTGGCTCAATAAAATTACTCGTAGACAACATCCTTTGTCTAATTATCATTTTGAAAAGTGATAAGGGTAGAGGTCATTTATTTAATCAGCTAATAAAACAAATAGTTAGACCACAATATCAATGGATTATGTCCATTTTGTTCACAGTGACCAGGTTACTGGCTATTAGAACTAGCTCCGCATATAAAACTATTCAGGATTAAAATTAAGAAATATTTAGCCTTACGGTGTTACAGCTCAGAGTACCAATCATTCGTAGTATTAAATGTAAGACCATGGGGTAGGTATAATTGTGCAGGGGGTAAATAGGGAAAATCTACTGTTGCCATTTCCTATTTGATGGAATACGAGCGCAGCTGTTAATGATGTACATGTACCCACAAAGGAATGGTTGATGTACATGTACCCACAAAGGAATGGTTGATGTACATGTACCCACAAAGGAATGGTTGATGTACATGTACCCACAAAGGAATGGTTGCTGTACATGTACCCACAAAGGAATGGTTGATGTACATGTACCCACAAAGGAATGGTTGATGTACATGTACCCACAAAGGAATGGTTGATGTACATGTACCCACAAAGGAATGGTTGATGTACATGTACCCACAAAGGAATGGTTGATGTACATGTACCCACAAAGGAATGGTTGATGTACATGTACCCACAAATGAATGGTTGATGTACATGTACCCACAAAGGAATGGTTGCTGTACATGTACCCACAAAGGAAAGGTTGATGTACATGTACCCACAAAGGAATGGTTGATGTACATGTACCCACAAAGGAATGGTTGATGTACATGTACCCACAAAAGAATGGTTGATGTACATGTACCCACAAAGGAATGGTTGATGTACATGTACCCACAAGGGAATGGTTGATGTACATGTACCCACAAAGGAATGGTCAGTTCAGTTAACCCAGCGAGGTGATCTACAATTGAAATTGATGTCATTGACCCAGTCATACAGAAAATCGTGAACAAACGTTTGAACGAACTATTTCAATATGTGGAGTATGATTTTATATCCATTCAGGGTAAATCATTTTTAGAGTGAAATACTGAATAGATTTGGAAGATCTCTTCCAGGGAGGAATGATCTCACTGAGATTAAGAAGCACTGGTCTAACTAATTATTTAAGATAGACATGTACAGCATAGGATCTGATTTTGTGCAATCAATGCTGAGGTGACAATAATTCCAACCATTCCTTCGGCATTAAGCTTAAGATAGAATGGCTGACCAGTTCAAAAAGTCAAACTGGCAAGTATTGGTAAATATGATGTTAAGAGATAACTGATAGTGAAGACAGGATGAAGTTTATTAATCATAAACCATTTTTACTCTATCTTAAACTCTCACCACATGTGGTCTGCTAATAATAACATGATTATAAAACACTCTTCCTTCCATCCCAAATTATAAACACCACTTTTTTCTTTTAAGTTATTAGATTATTAACAACTCATAAAAAAACATCTTCATTTATGATTTGCTATATTAAAACCAGTTGGTTAATGGGAAACTTTCAATTAACTGAACAAGAAAGTACTTCAATTCTTAACCTTTTGAAAGTTGGTCTTTTAGGAGATGCCTTGAAACTATTAATATGCCTATCATGTCAATACAGCTGAAAGGGTCAGGTGGGCCATTTCGGGGGGAGGCTTGAATCGCTACTGATCTCACTGGATCTTGTCTTGAGAAAACTTAAAGGTACGTGCACACGAGCGGTCTTGGTTGGAGACTTTTTTCGCTGATTAGAGACTTGTCTTGAGTTTCAACGACTGGCATGGGCACACGAGGAGACAAAAATCTCCAGTTGGTCGTTTTCCACCTTGTCAATAATCACGTGCGGAGCATGCAAATGAAAGGAAAAGGAATCTGATTGGATGAAAATCCCGTCGGCGACACGATTATCTTGTCGTGGATGCAAGATTTTACTCAAGATTCAAGTCAGAGACAAAAATCTCCAACCAACACCGCTCATGTGCCTGCACCTTTAAGTTTTCTCAAGAAAATCCTTTATAGAATTCAAGCCTTAGACATGACTGTGACATAATCATAACTTATTATATTTCCAGTATAATAAATTACTAAGAGACACTATCAGTGACAGATGTCACTATAGCCTGAATAACATAACTGCACTAATCTGTGTATTATCTGTGTCAACTGTCAATGCAAGACATTTAAAAGGTGCGAACAGACCAAGTATGTATTTCTGTTCAAGGTGCAGGATTAAACCATAGAAAATAGATGAGGCCAATACACCTAGGTATGGATAAGATTCAATAAATGCCCAGTACCCTTGACTCTACCTCATCTATTTGCACCTTAAAGATGGGCTTCCTTATTTTTCAGTTGTCAATTTAAGCTAACTTGATTAATTGGTGTTTTTAATTAATTATCATGTATTCTTTAACCATATCATTTTGTTCATATTGAATATAATAAAGAGTTTTAACCAAATATAAATGTCCAAGTATGTACACTGCATAAACAAAAAAGACTTTGTGACCTTTCTTAATCAGCCACTCATTGGAATTCTGCTGAAACCCATCTTTAACACTCCCTTTATTCCTGTTTTGGAGGTGACACAATACACCTATCAACAATTTTATTTCATAATTTGGACGAATCCTTATGACAAAAAAATTGAATAAGAAAACTAGTTGAAACTTTTAAATGACCTTGCAGTGTGCAATGAGGAAAATTGCTTACAAGTACAGTCTATTTTTTCGATTTCCCTCTGCTAAGGGATCTTTAACATAGGCCTACAAAGCCTGTAGAAAACAAGGCCTCAGCTTATTGTCCCATTTAACCATACAGACACTTTTCCATATCAGCCCCTTCGACCTCCATGACTAACAAGTGAAAAATGGATTACAAAATCCAAAGTATATGTTTTCAAAATACTGGTCTGATTACAACTATGAAAACAGTTGACCTACAAACAGGATACGCCACGCTAATCTTTTCATTCAAAACCACAAGGTGTTTAGGTTAAAAATAAAGTCTTACAATTGTAAAGTGTGTGTGTACAGTTATTCAATGTTCATGTATTATTCATAATTTTTACGTTTGTATTGACTGCCTTGACTTCAATCTGTTGAGTGTAAATATTGATCTCTTTTATTCACATATCACAATGTCATTGCTAGACCTATAGTTATTTCTAGAACAGCAATACAATTTAATATACAGGTTTCAATATGGAATAGATTAAGATTATTGTTCCGATAAAAGTCAACCCGCACTTCACTAGTCTCCTAACAAATGCAGACAGAGCTCAGACCACTTACAGGTTATTCCTTTGAATATTAATGAATCTCAGAAATATCTCGATATTCCCAAATTGTTATTCAACTACTTATTGTTAAGCTTTGGTGTTGAGTCATGTGAAGCTTTCACATGCGATCAGGTGTTGTTAAATGTGGCTTAAAAAACATACCAGTAGCCTACAGGCAATTTTCAAAACCGAACAATTCATTGTCAAACAAGTACCACTATCAAGATCCGATTAAGCATATATTTAATCATAGGTGCATTGAATTTGCAGTCACAATATTTCTTTGAGACCATGATATTTGTAATTTGGTCTTATACTGAATTTTAAATGGTAAATAGTTGTAGTTACTTTAGGTTATCACTTCAACAATATGCATGCTTATGTACATCTGCTTTTTGCTGTAAGAGCTGTAAGAGCTTGATAGTTATACCAGTTATATTTTAAGTTCCATGCTTGATTCGTGAGAATTAAAAGTAAGATACAGAATAGGCCTAGTTGAAAAAAAGTTCTATCTGCTGAAGAGAAAATGTGTAATCTTGAGCACATCATTTAAAGCATTTTTTTAAAATGTGGGTCCATAGAAATACGGTTTGATGATTTTACATCTGATATAAACACTTTTCCCACCAAGAATTTCATGTAAATATAAATAAGTGAATAAGACTATCTGAAAATTCCCCTTTGTAACCTCAGAATTATTTCTGATAACCTGTAATAACTTTTTCAATGGCATTAGTTGAAATTTCCATCAACTCAAAGACTCTCAGTAGTATTTCAATGTTGATATTTAAATTCATACAAAAATGATTGACAAAATGTTATTCTGTAAACATTATGCGTACAGAAGGCCCAACTTAATTCCATCTTTCTGTCCAGGGTTTTCATCAGTGTATGACAAAACAATATCTAGCCTAAGGTAATGACAGTGTACCCATTAATTAACAATGACATCCATCGTCTTTGGACAGAAAAGGACAAAAACATTAGAAGAGAGAAGTTTGGAAATAAACAGAGAGCTGATTTAGTTTGACTTGAAGAGAGGATGGATGAAAGAAACCTTGGGTTTGACTTTTCTTCAATTCGCATGTCTTTGACCAATCAAGTTGACCTTTATAAATTGGATTGATAACAATGGCTATGCTTACCCGGCCCTTCAGGAGTTTATTCTTAATCCTCCAAATTTCAGCGGTTAATTGGAAATTTCCACATTAATTTATTTCGCCGCACTAAAAAATCATCCGATATTTTGTCACAAATGTAAACCCAGTGAGACTGTTTACTTCTAACCGGAAGCTAATGGGTTCGTTCGATAAAATAAATAGTACTCGTGGTTTCTCAATGTAGAAACAGTGAAATTTTTTGGCAACTGACCCAAGCAAACTTTTCAAGATCAGTTATTTATTCACTTTATATTACAAACTATTGGGAACACAGTTTTCCATAATTTCTTTTTTGTGCTCACAAAATCCTTACGCACATTCAGCGCTGTTTAAAAATTTCTACATGCACCGAGGAAGGAGACTTTTGACCTTATATAGGCTATTTTTATGATGTGTGAGCTTCGTAAGTGAACTTTTCTGGGTGAAATAGCTAGATAATGTAATCAGGGTGATAGTTTTTTTGGCGAGGAAATTAGTTCTAAAGATTCAGACGGTTGTTTCACTTGCAAATTTCCCAAAATTCTCGAGAGCAAATCAAAACATATTTACTTCCGGTCCAAACGGGCACCTGTCAAGTGAAAGTAGAGTAAATAAATACACCTGAGCCTACCTGCTTTGAAATTAGATATGGATTTATTGAAAACACCTCCAAAGACACCAGAACGGTCTAAAGAATCACCTTCTCCAGGATCAAAGAGAAAAGTTCACACACCAAGTTCTGATTCAGACTCTGAAAAAGCATCCAGTTCAAAACACACAGCGGAGCGACCTTCTCCAGATAGAAAGCGTTCTCCTTCAGAGTCTCCTCCAGAAAAAAAGAGAAAAGCAGAGACAGAAGAAGAACATGCTCATATCAAACTTAAGAAAGAAAAACAGGAAGAAGAACGGTTAAAGATGCAGTATGTATTGATCAGGATTTTTCCCAAATAGGGCAATAAGTACCTGCTTGTAGAGATTACTTCCAGGTTTAATCAGTGTTAGTGGACTCAACCTAACTACTGTACCAAGGACAATATTTGTCACAGATTTCTAACAAGTAGAAAACAAAGAATTAATTTATAATTAGCAAACATTTTAAAAGTTAAGGTTACAGGGTACACAAACTTTGTTTAAAAAGGTTAAAACTGGAGCAAATTGACTGCTGCCAAACACTGTTCAATCAATTGTTAAGATCTAGTTTGATTTCCAGTGATATTTGAAACTATTTTTCTTTTGATTTCAGGGTTCTTGTATCCAATTTTTCAGAAGAGCAATTGAATAGATATGAAATGTACAGAAGAGCTGCATTTCCAAAAGCTGCAGTTAGACGAGTAAGTGGAGGAAGAGATCAACTTAATTTTCATGCTCATATTTTCATAAGTGCAGTTATGATTCACAAATGGCAAAAAACGTACTGAGAAAAAAAATTCTTCTTAGAGCAATATTCCTTCTAAAATTGACAAAATGGCCATTCTTTGATCTAATACAGTTGGCTTTTAGCTAAGATGAGTTTGAGCTCTTCTGCTTTTGAAAATGTTATTTGGTAGTGGTATAGAAAAAATTTGGGTGTAGTTTGGGTATCGTAGGTCCTATTGAATTAAAGGACAAGAAAAAAATCCTGACACATTATATCAAGGTTGAGAATTTATTTTGTAGTTGATGCAGTCTATAACTGGTTGTACAGTACCACAGAATGTTGTTATAGCTATGTCTGGTATAGCTAAAGTTTTTGTAGGAGAAGTTGTTGAAGAGGGTAGGTTTGATAGTTTATGTCCTGTTAAATAACCAAATAGTTCTTACTCTGCAACTCTGGCTCTGTCATTTACAGGGTAGGCTGTAGATCTTTGGAATCATTTGCTTCCTATGTCAAATGGTGGTCATGAATATGCCATCTTTCCACATTTCCAGTCGACCCAGCTGAGGTTTAACCTAAAACTAAAAATGGTAGTTTTGTTTCTTCTGTGTCATCTTAAGAATGGTTCAAGGTAGCTGTTCCCTATATTGGGGCTTTGTGGACATTTTGTTTCTAATGAAATTTTATTTGTATTACTTATTTCAGCTCTAGATGTTATGGAACAATGGAATGAGTCTGGTCCACTACAACCTAAACATATGAGAGAATCTGTTAGAAAATTAAAATCTAGAGACTTAATTCCTACTACAAAGTGTAAAAAAGTCAAATTTAATAGATGATTCTTATCTTAGCATTCAACAGGGTTATTGTTTAAAACTCTTTATAGTCAGGTATGCCTGAATTTTAATCAGGCAAAGCAGGAATTTCTTTCAGAAAAGTGCAAAATGTGCAGAAAAAATATTTTATTGTGCAGTTCTGTATGGAATTGAATTTTCAGTTATTGTATGTTATGCTAGAGACAGGCGAGAGAATTTTTTAGACAGATCACATCGCTTAAAATTTTTAAGAGCGTGTTACTAATCAGACAGCCTTTTTGAAATCACATGACATCAACATCACATTTGTTGGGTTTGAAAGTATCTATCGTGCCATAAAATACGCAGGGCACAGGCTGATGAGCGAACTTACCAGTGAATGGAATTTCAGGCATAAATAATACCATCTATTCATCCTGGACATGAGCGAGCACACAAGCAAATTTCTAAATATATTTTAAAATTCGCCGCGATCGGGCAATAAAATTCGTTTGACTGCCCCCAGCATTTACCTTGTGTTTAAAGTGTTAAAAGTTTGCAAAGTAAACTACAGTAATAAAGAATTATTGTGTATTTTCAAGCATCCTGATGAGGTATTATTAACATTCTGTTATTTTTGTAATTAAAAATGATATAATCTGTTTTTTGAGGTGTAATCTTTCTCAGACATTTCAACACTATAACAAACTCTTCCTGGTGAAATAAAGTCTGCAACAAATAGAGGAGTACAATATAATGAATTTTAAGCATATATAGATATATGAGATATGCTAATGAAATTCATATTGATAAAAAGGTGTGTGAGTTATTCACGCACGAAGCAGACAATGTTTCGTCTTTTCAAAACACCTGATAGAACATCTCTTTGGAGCAGTCCACTACTATACCACTTTCACTCTCGATTTTGACACAATTTGGGCGAGATTTTGATAAACGGAATTGTCATACTTGTACAGATTTTTATTACATGGGTTAGGTCCATTACACCACAGTGACATGTTCCTGTCTATAATTCAAGAGCCGATGGGGAAAAACGTCGAATCTTTATATTACATAAGTCAGAATTAGGTCCATTAAACCACAGTGACATGGTCCTGTTTAACATTCTGCTAATATTCAAATATCCTAAATATCTCTTTTATCATATTCACGTGTTCAAACCAGAACAACTGGATCGTTGCATAATCATAATTCAACTTACAGTATATGGGAGATAACCCTTCCTATGCTATAGTTTATATACTACAAATAACTTTGCTCTTTTAAATGTAGACTGTAGGGCAGAGAAAAATGTTAGTTGTCTCCCTTTAATCGTCTAGTCAATATTATGTCTGTTGTATTATCTTTAGATCGATCCACTGGATTATTCCGATCCCGGAAAAACTTTAACTATTGATTTTACAATTTGGTTTCAAATAATGTCACAATGACGTTTTTATGAATTATTATAAGAGGATGTAAAATGGGACTGACAAGCAATTCTTTCCAAGGTACAATAATATTAATAATTTTAATCAGTGGAGAACCCTCTAAGATGCTCTATAAGAAGCTTGCGACTATGACACCACAACAGAGTAGCCAAAATTTTCATTCAGTCTCAGCAGTTGTCCCCCCCTTGGAGTCAGTCTGTCCCCTTTTTGAACCCCCATGGCCACTTGCCATTATTCTTAAAAAAAATCACTCACAAGCTGTATTATCGCTCAATAGCTCCTCCCTCAAACCAAATCATTAGTTTTACAATTGAATAAGCATTTTATGACCAACAGCAGTAGCCTAATTCTGTTTCATTCTACAGCTGATATGTTTGGTAATGTGGTCATCTTGTTTGTCAAATGCCTTCTTAAAGACACAATCGTTTTATTGGGATTTGCTGTACCAACTGACCATGCTTACTCTTTTCGAAACACCTGATGGTACTTTTGCCATGCTTTGGACGAGATTTTGATTAGCGGAATTGCCTTGCTTGTACGGATTTTTATTGGCTTTACCAACTGATAAATTCTTAGCTCACTGTATACAAAACACGACTCTGTTCTAAGAGGTTCGACTGCATATCACCGATATTTATAGGGTCTGCTAATTTACCAAACAATCCTTTTTGTGTCTTCATGACATCAAGATTTCTTTTAAAGAAAGTATTCAAAGCGTATCTACGAAATACTTGTTAACAGGGGTTGGCCTGACACGGTGGCTTCTTAGAGCAAAATGAAAGGGCCCCAAATCGTTTGTCATCTAACAAATAATTTGTTCTATTTTATCTGTAAAAGATAACATATTGGATGCCATACGGTCTCACTCTTACTCAAAGAAACAATTATCCCCCTTTCAGTATAAGCCTAAAGGTAAAATAAATGTCAAGGCACCGCGTTAGACTTCCTATCGGCATTAAGTAACGAACGCACCCACAAATGGTAAATTTCAATTATACTGACTATTGAGATAGATCGAGCAGGTGGAAGGTTGTGACTCGTGTTCGACCACAGAACCTTTTTTCACAAATAAGTCGATATTTAGTTCTTTCTTTGATAAATTACTACTTGAAATGAACTCATGAAAACAAAGTGTACAGAACAGCACATTTTAGTAGCGCAATGAAGCGTGTTCCAAATTTTGATTGCAACATAATTTACTCTATTAATTTCTACCTTTATATATTTGTAATGGCACGTTTTTGTCTGACAGACGACCAAAAATCAAATTTCTCGCTTCAAAGAACACATAAGAAGACATTTGTACATACTCGATCTTCTGCAAGTGAAAAGCAGACGCCGGTTAGCTAAAATTGCTCAATTGTAGAAAAACAAAGTAATTTTGAGTTGAAACGAAACAAAATTATTATTTCGCTTTGTTTAAATAATAATTGTGACAGATGGAATAAAACAACTGCCTTTTTGCCATATTCTTTATCAGCCAATAATAATCAAATTGGATATTAATTTGTACCGAGGTGTCGCCCTCTCTTTATACAATTTTGTGGCAATTGGGTATGTCCACGTGGTTAGTTCAGCCCTTTTCATGTTTTTAAACTTGAAAAACGTTCTTGAATAAAACAATATTTAGTCCAGAAAAGGTGTTCGGTATTAAAGACATGCTTTCTATCAAAAGTACATGTCACTCGTTCTAATTAAAACAACAATCGGATAAATTTTCAGACAGCAAAAAAAAAAACTTAAAAAATCATGTGTTTCATTAAAGACATCACTAAACATCATTAAACTAACACTAAGAGCGATATTTTTTTATGTTTTTGACCATAGCGACGCTTTTGTATTACCTGCCCAAAAACTGCATTATATGTTGTTCCAAAGACTTAAAGTGACAGATTCGCGTTTGACCAATCGCACCTTAGTCTCTGAACGGGACATTTTTTTAGCTAAGCTAATCAGTAATAGTGTTCTCGACTCATATTCGAAATTTTAGCCATCAAATCACCGTGTGTCCAGAATTATCTACGTTTGAAAGCTACAAAAGATGACTCGTCTTTTCTTGAGACTCTGCCATATATACAAAAAATACATTATAATAAAAATAGAAAGTGAAATTCCTAGTTTGAGGTATTTTTATATGGAATCACGGCCTTTAACAATTAGCACAGATACATAGTGTATAATTATATATTGGCTAAATAATGACCAAATAAAAATCTCTCGATTAAAGTTATCCTCTTTTTTACAATAATAGTGTCAATATAGCCAAACTTGTTCTTGGTGACTCGTTGCATTGGATCCATTCGTTCATTTAGTATCAACGGAGATACAAAATAATCAATACATAGGCATTATGAAAATCGGTGAGGACTTAAATGAAATCTAATGAAGAAAAACACCTGCCCGTGAAATATATACCCTTTCTTATGTTGCATTTAAAGACCTGTGACACCGCTTACAAACCTTTGTCCAGTACATTAACCAATCGTAGTGGCAGGACATCTGACCAGTTGTCCAACGTTAATGTCACGTGTCAGGTCATTTAAGTGGACGTCTGCATGAGGTACGCCTCGTGTCAGAGTGCGTCTACCATCAAGTATTATTGGTTATAAAACAGTTTGGACATGGTTATAACAGGCATGTAATAATAGTTCCACTTAAACTAAAATCAATACGGATATAAGGATCAAGATGAAACAGATTTCGCCTTATCAAATGATATCTTTTACATAGGCATTACAAATCAGTATCAGTTGCCAAATTTAAATGCATGTATTCCAAAAAAATCGGACGGTAGTAATTGGCACGATGACGGAATCATATCAATTTCATAATAAAATTTCGGGTACTTTTGAATACTTGGAGACAATCAGATGCAAATTACATATTTTCAAAATTATTTTTTTCCTAAAAGACTCACAAAGCGTGAAAATCAATGGTCGGTCAGATTCTTAAAACAAAATAACTGTTCGTATACTTTTATGTATATCGGGCACTATTCCGATATTGCCAGTCAGCATAAAGAAAATCGTCTTCAATAGCAATAATTCGAATACGCATTTCAGATAACAACTTATTTCAGATAACAACGTATTTCAGTTAACAACGTATTTCAGATAACAACGTATTTTAGATAACAACTTATTTCAGATAACAACGTATTTCAGATAACAACGTATTTCAGATAACAACTTATTTCAGATAACAACTTATTTTAGATAACAACGTATTTCAGATAACAACGTATTTCATATAACAATGTATTTCAGGTAACAATGTATTTCAGGTAACAATGTATTTCAGATAACAACGTATTTCAGATAACAACTTATTTCAGATAACAACGTATTTCAGATAACAATGTATTTCAGATAACAACTTATTTCAGATAACAACGTATTTCAGATTACAATGTATTTCAGATAACAACGTATTTCAGATAACAACGTATTTCAGGTAACAACGTATTTCAGATAACAACTTATTTCAGATAACAACGTATTTCAGATAACAACTTATTTCGGATAACAACGTATTTCAGATAACAACGTATTTCGGATAACAACGTATTTCAAATTCTATATCACTATTTTGATGTAATAATATTATTATATTATTATATTATTATTGTTTTTTGCGCTCCTTTTCCTTACGCTTTGTTTACCTTTGATTACAATTATTTGTGCTTGTTAGTAATACGGTGTTTATTAAATTGCAAAAAGGTTTTCTAAACTTTTTATAACAGTATCCCCGATACACATACAAAGTTTAGAAAACCTGTTAATAATCTCTTTAAAGTAAATAATTGTGTATGATTACAGTGTGTATTATATGATTATATACTGTTTATTTGGAGGAAAGCTATAGGTTGTCAGTCTAACAATGGTAGATTTTTAAAGAATACGACTGCTATTATCAATATATCTGCATTTAAATGTTATCGCAATTTATTCGTTTCAATGCGTGTTACGCTGGTATGATTTTTAACAATTTGATATATAATTAATAGAATTAAAGAGAGAAATTTATTAATTGAGAAGTTGTCATCTTAACAATATATATATTATAATCTATATATTACCACAACGAGAAGAGTCAACCACATGCCGATTTTCTGATAAAAGTGATAAAGACTCTGTCATGTTTGACCTGGTTTAGGTACTATCGCACTGACAGACGCATCGAAATGTCCACGTGTCTTGCACGGTACCAAAATACAGTCAAGGGGTAAGAAATGCCTTGCAGAATATCATTAAATATCTTTGTAGGTTCATTAACTAAAAGCTTTCTATCGATACCAAAATTTATGCCAAATTTGTCATTTGACATTGTGAACATTCTCAAAAACAATCGATTAAAAATGGATTGGAGCAATTCTAATAAAATGAGTGCCTTTGAGTCCGGCCCTAACAGTGACCATATCACATATCGAATATTAAGTCCGAGGAACCGGTAGAACAGGCTTATGCAGACACTATCTTTAAATTAAATTGTATGAAATGTAAATGATGGAATGAATTTAACCGTGAAAGTATTTAAATATGGTAATTTATTCAATAGTTTAATGCAGATGTCGAAGACGACATTTTCTCAGATAAAAGCCTATTATGGTAAGTAAGAACTAAATTTTATAGAATTGAGTACTTGTATATTCTATTTTTGAAAGTCGAAGTCACTTCTTGGTAAATAAAGCGTTATCTAAAAAAAGACATTATTCCAGCCTTCCAGATGGTTAATAATGTTGAATGGTCATATCTTGGAAAAAGAAGGAAGCAAGGACAACGCCCGTTCATTCCTTCTGCCAACTGTCATTTTGTGGGCAACGGCGATGATGACACTTTGGACATGATATAAAAGGTTCAAAAATGTACTTCTGCTATATAATGTCAACTTCTTGTGATCAATTGGTTATTGGTATCTATTCTTCTTACTCTGTATATTAGAAAGCACTGGCCAACACCTTCTCTATCAGACAATACCTTTTATTTTTAAACATTTTCTTTTTGCAGGAACCACGGATCGGAGATAAATTCCTGATTGATTTATGGAAAGAAACAAAAGCTATTTTTAAACTGATGGTATTAACCATACCAACTCAACTCTTAGTGGCTCTACCTTGTTCACTTTGTATTATGTTTGCTGGGCATGTTAGTGTGGAGACATTGAATGCCGTGGGCATGGGATTTACGTATATTTACTGCACGGCGTATTCTTCATCTATTGGGCTAGGCATTACTTGTGAGGTCCTGTTTTCACAGGCAAACGGAAGTACAAAACGCTCATCGCTTGGTCTCGTCATTCAGCGCTGCCTCGTGATATCTTTTCTTCTCTTTTTACTAAATGGAGCTATGGCAACCCATTCTTACATTCTTATCAAGTTTCTTGGAAAAAACGACCAAACGGTAGAGGAATATTATTATTTTATGCTTGCCGCAATTCCAGGATTTTGGGGATTTTCTGTAATGTTGGTGGAAATGAAATATTTACAATGTCAGAAAATTGTTAAACCGTGTGTTGTAATTGGAATTATTGTGAATATTTCACATGTTATGTTTGGTATACCTTTAACATTGTGGACCGGATTAGGTTCCACTGGAACCGGTTTATCATTCAGTCTCACCTATTGGCTGTGGGCGATTCTGTTCTTTGTTTATATCAAACTGAGTAAAGTTTGTGTTGAAACATGGGTTCCATGGTCAACAGAATGCTTCAATTGTTGGTGGCCGATTTTGAAAATAGCCATTCCAAATACATGCATGATTGCTTTAGAGTTTAGTCTTTTCCAAGCATTTCTTGTTCTTTGTGCTATGTTGGGTAGCTTCTATTTATCTATTTACCTGATCGCTGCCAATGTTTCTGAATTTATATACAATATGTTTCTTGGTTCCTGTAGTGCCGCCATTATTCATATTGGAAACTATCTTGGAAACGGCGATTACGAACTTGCTAAATTATCCGCACAGGCGTCTGTATTTCTAGTTGTATGTCAGTCAGTCGTCGATTTTTGTACAGTATTGATATTATGTTACGTGCTACCCTTTTTATACAGTAACGATAATCTCATTATTAGGGAATCCAGACCACTAATAATTCTTTTTGCTCTCCTTCATTTATTGCAAGGAGTAGGTTTTATTTACGGCGGTCTTCTCAAAGCTTGCAGTAAACAGCAATTTGTTATGATGGCTCATATCGCATGTATAGGAATTATTGGATTTCCTATAGCATACTGCCTCATGTTCTTGGTATCGTTAAATGTGTATGGTGCCGCGATAGCTATACAAATATCGGAAGTTTTCTTGTGTATTTTTACCTTTGCAAAAGGACATTTTTTAAATTGGAAAGAAGAAGCATATTTAGCTGTAGAACAGGCTCACAAAACAACAACAATTGATAGAAACAATTATGAAGACTCGGTAAATGATCCAAACTCTGTTAAAGAATCGACACGGTTAGTTACAAAACCTCTTAATAAAAACTGGAAGACAGTGTTACAGAAAGGCTTCTTTATCGTGCTATTTACGGCTGTGTTTATAGGATCAATTTATATCAGTATTTTAGCTTTCTGTACAGGGGAACGACCTGTGCTGCTGGGCGGCTCGTAAATCGTCGGTGGAGGCAAAGTAGTTCTAGAGTGGTTAAAGCAGTTATGGCAGAGGCACCTTTCTGGAGATTTAAACATGCCCAAAACGTAACCGAAAGGTCGTCTCGGAAGCAGGTTGACCACAAATGTCACATTGGTGGAGGAAGCATTGCATTGGCTGTAGATAATAGACTGGTACTTATACCATCCTTGGCAGTTTACGTAAATCTTTATCTGTCTGGATAATGGATGGTAGATTGTGTCTTCATCGGCGAAACTCTTGTCTTCTGTCACTCATAAATCATCCCCATACACCAACACGATCATTACGCTCTTCAATTTGACATCTTTTAGCTATACCACCTGACAGACTGTTGGAGCAAGGTCTTTCGGCTGCACAGCTGCTTCTTTATGGAACAAATTACTTGATACCATTAAACTATCTCCACCTCTTGCTACTTTCAAATCCCACACAAAGACATGGATGTTAAATCGCTATTAATGGATAATCATCGAAAGAGCACGCAAGCGCTCTGGGCATTCTTCTACAGTATGGACATTTATTTGTCAAGCAATAAAAATACTGCAAGCTGAATATATTTTTTATCTTTATGGGACGATTTTGACACGCATTTAATGACAATCGATTTACCATTTATGACCATTTTGAATCCGCATAGTACGAAATTATTTTTATTGACTTTGTTTACAAAATGCTTGTAGACCTAACCGACCAGTCTATGATGTATGAACTACCAGAAACACATGGTCACATGGCAATCTGGACACAGTGCTGGTCATTGGGCGATCCTCGGCAGTTTCTGTAAAGTTGAATCTGTCTCAGTAATGGATGGTAGATTCAGTTGTGTCTTCTTCACACATTACTTCCGTCATTTAAATATAGTTATCATTGTGTTCCGTGTTCTTTATTATACCAATAAGTACCAGGTAGTTCCTGTAAGAGAAATGTCTAATGGGTTCCCTGATATATAAAGGGAAATAAGCTACTGTCAATTTAACATTATACAACAATACAATTGGACTATCGACAGCCTATTCGACTAACAGAAATAGTCTGTTTTGAAGGGTATAGCCGGTTCAGAGGGGTCGGTTTAAGTCTAGAAATGTCAGCTCGAGCTCTAAATCTTCAACACTGGCCATTATACGAGTTATTTCCCTTTAATCCGTCCGTTCTCTTGTATAGCTGATGGGATTCACTGTATTCAACAGCGCTTTTCTCTGTTTCAAAAACTCTGTTTTATAACATTTTCCCATATCATTGATAAGTAATTAATAAATACAAGTGTTGAAAGCGGTCTCAGATAATTCCCAATGGTGGTACTATTTGATAGCTAGCCTTCTTTACTTAGATAACAATATCTAACATAATTTCAGTTTATCAAGGGTTGAAACTCAATTATCCTTTGTCGAATTGTACCCAAATTTGAACTTGTCCGAGATCTTGTAAATAGAAACATACATAATAGAAATAAACGCTTTGGCCTCAATCGCGTTCACGACCCACTTTTGTTAAAATAACAAAGTATCAAGGGTTGAAACTCTGTTACCCTTTGTCGATGTCGAATCGTACCAGAATTCGGACTTGTTCTAGATCTCGTGGATATATACTGTTACACCGAATTTAATACAAATCGGATACAAGCTGTGACCTCTATCGTATTCATAAGCTAATTGTGGACAGACGGACGGACGAACGGACAAAGACGGGCTGCCGGACGGATGGACAAGTCGATAGCAATATACGTCCACATTTCCACATGGACATATAAAAATCACTTTACAATCCTTCCAAATACACCAAAATTATTGATTGATTCAGATTATGAAATTACACTCTCAATTTCTATATACTATATAAACAATTTTTGATATTTTTTCATTACTTCTAAGTTATTGATGGAAATCTTAAATAAATAGCCAGACGACACGATTTTAATTATGTTAGAAAGAGCCCGTATTTTTAGACACCAGACTTGAAACATAACTTTTGTTACTTTTTAAACTGATACTACAATTTACAATATGGATGCCCTGTGGCGAACAATAAAAAAGCAAAAAATTTAAGAAGAGTTAGTGGCGTGTTTCTTCTATTACTAATATAAGACGTGGAAAATTTGGATATCGTTGCTGAACGTTGTTGAGTCAATTTTCTTGCCGAACAGTCTATCAAATAGAAGGTTTCGTTAGCGAGGACGGCGTTCCCTATTCAACAGTCTTGTCGCTTTGCTCTCGCTTAGCGAATATTCACAATTAAGGATGCCCCCATGCTGATATCCGCACGTGGCGAATTTTTTCACACAGTGTATCGACACGCGTATGCACGTGCAACCACGTGACATATAACGACCTAAAATCTCCTTTACGTGACCGAGAAGTGGGCAGACTGTTATTTGCTAACGGCTGAAATATGAAAGGCACTGAATGACAGCTGCTCTTCGTGAAATTTTGGACGAGTGGCTTTTGGCCCGGAAGAAGATTTGGATAGAGAGTACGGGTCACGTGTTTTTAATAGGTACAGAAGTTAATAGACATTCATAACCTGACGTCACGCAATTTAAAATTTTGAAACAAAGGAGCTTGATTTCGTTTGATTTAAGGTTTAGAGGAAGAGGGCGTTAAACCAACTGGTGGCGAGCATCCTATTAGAGTTACCACCTGCTTGCAAAAATCTTAAAATTTAATAAGCAGTGATATTAATTCTTTTGGCCCATTTCTGAAGTTAGGGATTTGAGGCATTACGAAAAACAAGAATAACAGTTATTTCGCATTGATGTGATATACAACTACATGTATTTAATAACATAAATGCCTCTCTTATCTGAAGATCAAGCAGGATAATCAAATCAATATGAAGTCATTTGAGTGTATCTGAATTGAGAACTGAATTTTCAAATTTACAGAACAATAGCGATGAAGTTTTTCTTTTAAAGAAAAAACAAAAGACCTTAGTTGAAAAATCAATAATAGAATTTACATACATGGGGGGGTCATTGATAAATATAAGAAATAGTAGAGGTCCCAAAATGGCACCCTGTAGTGCACCACATTCAAAAATGATTTAGTCTGATAATTTTATAAGCGAAGCATGTACGCTGTATTGTTTTGCTGTATGCTTTCTAGATATTTTTGAAGTGAACATCTCTACATTTACATAAAGTTTTTTTTTTATAAACAAAGACAATCACAATGTACAACATGAGATTACGCTCAATCCAAATTTGAAATTTGCGAAAGATGTCATAATAAGGCTATCAAAAGCAAGATGGGTGTTGCAGGGAAATGCAGATACCCGTATCCAGAAGTCTTACTTAAGAGCTTGATTGCTTGAAGCAACTGGCTGGCTTACTAATTAGAAATATACAACTAAACCGCAAATTATCTTCAAAACGGCGTTAAAGTTGGAGAGGGTTGGGCGAAGAACTCTGCATTTCAATTACCATTACTAAAAGTTATTTATCAAAACCGCAAATTATTGAAATTTTCTGTCAAAAACGTAAAAGGGTGTAAGGGTCACGTGGCATTTCGGAAATTTGATTTGAAAATCGGCATCGAAATAATTATTCTTAATTGTAAGTTCGGAAACTGCACAATACCACAAAACATTTGTCAAAACCTCAAATTCCACATGATAAAGAAAATTTGGTAGGGGTCATACGTAGTTGCCTGCGGTAGGGACTAACAATTATGCCGAATTTTGTTCTATTTATATTGATCATAACCGCAGACTTTACAAGGTTTCCTAAGGGTCACGTGTCAATAAGCACTAAACAAAAGAAAGTTTGTTTGATTCAGACAAGACAACCAGATGAATTCTTAATAATTGTTTCTTTCTCTCTCTTAATAATATTTGATTTCGTCAGACATTTACTAGAAGAATCACAGTTCCAAGTCGTGCAACCAAACTAATATAAGGCCAAAAGCTAATATTTTTAAAGAGTTTATATGAATTGAGCGACTCCGATGATTGTAATATAAAACATGAATGATGTGCTGACATACTCAATAGCAAAGCGACATCAGGTGTTCCAAGATAGCATGACTGTATTCCTGCATTGCATGCTACATGATTTTCATCAGTTTATTACGAAAGGTTATTGTTAAGTCAGAGGCAAGACACAAGGTTCTAAATTTTGAACGTTATCTTTCCATAGCAAATTTCAGAGAAGTTAACAGTTTTGACTATTAACGGCCTTACGCGATCCGCATCTCGATGATTTGTCTAAGTATGTGTACCCACCTCTTGTTTCAGGGCATACCTATGACCAAGTTTGTCGACGATGGTTACGCCAATTTGATTAAACTGGAAGTGAGGATGTGTGTGTGTATGAGGGGGCAGGGGGTCATTTTACAGCCTAAGTAAATATCATACTCACTGCAGTAATAACTGAATAACAATCGTGTTTCTTGGTTCATATTCATTTGGTAATATAATCATATTTCAACCCGTATACTTCACGTGCTATAGAATACTACTATCTGTAATAATATAACACGTGCATTACATGTCTAACCATGCAGACTTCCGAAAAGTAGTCCGTCGTATCTCATTCTTTGGAAATTCGAAAGCGCACGTGCCAAATACGATATCGTTTCCGACAAAAATAATTACACATAAAAACACGCTTTGTGGTTGTCATGGAAACACAATTAATTCCATTTTCCTATTTCCGATTTCGTGGAAAATAACCCGAATGTTCGCAATCGCAAATTGATGAGTCTATTTTCTGTGATGACGTACTTCCGGTGTTTTCATATCTGTCGTCTGCACATTGTTTAATTACACATTTTCGTGATGAATAATCGATTCGTATTTTAATGAAAATCTCAGATAAAGACAAAGGATTCCACCTTTTTAAGGATTTCTTTGTTCTTGTGGCATCATTGCTCACGATATGAAATAAAGTATCCTATTGATCCCTATAAGCCATTTTGTCATTATAGTTTGAATAAAACAACCAATTTAGGCCTTTAAGTCATCTATTAATTTCATATTCATATTGCAAAACTTAGTCGAAGAGTGGTGCCATCGACGCCATAGTGGAGAGATTAAAATACATATAGGCCAATCCACAGTAGTGGCGGCGCCAGTGAGGGTACAGAGGACTGACCTCGCCCAGTTAGCGGCTCTTACCTATGCGCTCCTACTGAGCTGCCGTATTTTCAATCCTATAAGTCACCCCCTCCCACCATTAAGTCAGTCAGTCATCCATTTACATCCAAGTCTCTAGAGGATCCACAGATCTTTTCTCGGTAAATTTACACGGTTTTTAAAATAATGGTCAAACTGGTAATAGTTGAAATAGTCATGTCAACAACTTGAATTGACGTGCGAAAAAAATGTAACGGCGTATATTTTGCAAAATCCAATGAAGTCTAACAGGCTAATTGAAAAGACCCTGACAACGTTGAAAGGAGCCTTGAGAGGCGACTTAGGTGAAATGATTGTCCAGTTTCTGCAGATAAAAGACAATTAATATCAACTCAAAAATTCAGCCGAAATCTTAAAAAGCTTTATTTCTGATAAACGACGGACCTGGTAGATCATTATCTCGTCCATAAATAGCACACTTCTTAAACAGACAAGGACTTTCTCTCCAGGCATATCTTAAACCAACCATGTGTTTACCATGACAACCGGAAGTGTTCAAAGTGACTGATGCTCCTTGATGGTGGGTTATTGGTGCTGCTACCCATTGATCATTAGAACCACAGTCGGTCTTTGAAGTTGAGCAGCAGATCTTAAATGAAGCACGATTTTTATGAATGGTTCTTATGAAAAAGACGGTACCGCTCTGAATAGTTTTCAATATGAACTTCTGCAATCATCGTCATCAGTGCACTTCTAATTATTTGCGCTTTTTTCCGTTATGGTCTTACCCTAGAACAGTGGTACGAAGAGTGCGAAGATTGGGTGACAGGGCTTTTGCGAGTACCTAACCTTATTTTCAATCTGGTCTCTACAAGCATTCCTTGATGAGTCTTTGGACCATAAGTATAATCATATAAGGCTGGTTTCAGCATCTCCAGGATCAGATAAGGTACCCTTACACAAAATCAAATTGTGAATACCTTTTGAAATTTACACTTAATAGAAGCCGTCAAAACTAACCTCGAAACCATTATTAGATCTAACATCTAAAACTGTATGACCATGATCATATTCTACTGTGAGTTGATTAGTCACGTGGTTATTAAAGGAGGTAGGAAAAGGTCCCTGATAATTTAAACCTTTTTGTCCATAAGCTACAGCTAAACTAGCTAGTCCTAACCTTTCACCTACATCTTGTTTAAATCGTGGATGGATTCTGTTGGATAAAAAAGAGAAAGTTTATGTTATCTAAAACAGCTGGAGGAGGCATCGCCATATTCTGGAATCTTCTATCTCGTTCTTTGACAGAGTGTCCGGCTGTACACTTTTCGAAGGGGTTTATAACCATTAATGGTTTATTTTGTCAGACGAAATCGCTAATATCCCACGCATGGATCTTGCATTACTGCTTTTGTATTTGTCGCAACAGTTTACTTACGTTCCGCGAGGTGAATTAAAATCAGGAAGATCCATAGCTACTGCCATAAAGGTATGCGGTAGTTTAGTGTTGGGAACATATCCTACATTTCCAGTTTGACTGAATCTTAAACCAGGGAAACCGCCAATACGGTTAAAATCATGTTTATTGGCAGCTAGCTGAAAGAAACAAAATGGGACCGATTCACCATTTGAGCAATCGTAGCCTACCATGCGTTTTCAGAATTATCCGCGTTTGAACGTTAAAATGACAACTCGTCTCTTCTTGACACTCCGGATATATATAAATAGAGAGTGAAGTTTCTAGTGTGGGGTATTTTTCGAAGGTATTGTACGACTTTCGTGTAATTCTTCTGATGACTATTTACATATTATATTCGAGACCCAAATCCACCCCGAAAATGGAGAACATGGCTTTTAATACGAACATACCTGAACAACACCAAAAGGAAACTTGTCACTAGTTTCACCCAATGAACCATGATGAAACTGTTGTCTCCAATCATTGACCATAGCTGGTTGTTGACAAACATATCGTTCTGGATGACCCGAGTTTGACTCCCCTTCAATGAAAGAATAACAATAATAATTTAGAATACACCCTCATAGTCATAAATGCAGGACTTACGCCCTTTATCTGCAAAAAAATGCCCACTGAAATCCTCTCCACCTATGAGTCGAAAAAAAACTTGACGGTGGCACTTTCCAATCCAAAGTTCTGCAACCGCCACTATGAAGGCATGATATTCCATTTCATTTTCAATTATTTCAGTGTATAAATGAATTGATTCTATCATACAAGTTAGAATAAATCAAATAAAATGTCAATATCTATTATAAATTGAAATGAAATTGTTATAACACTATGAAAGAATATCCTTACCTTGATACCATATAGCACCATATATAGTCATTGCTAACAATGGATTTATCATGGCATTCCATAGAACTGAATGACTATGAGGATTTCTGAAATTTTGACAACATAGGAGAGTAATAAAACAAAAATTTACAAAACAAAATAAAACGAACATGTATTTATCCAAAGTTTTGAAATTGACAATATATGCGACTATCCTGGGTCATTTTCAAGATCCATTCTGGATCAAAATGAGACTACCAGATCGTACAGTCTTTCTGTCGAGGATTGGCTGCATTCTCTTATGTACAATATATAATCAAATCGCTGTATTCCGTGATACAAAATTAGTGACAATTGCAGTCAAGGTATAAGACCATGTTCGTAATAGCTTGACACTGTGAAGATGATGGAATCTAAGTTTACCTTATATCGATAAGCCATATGCATAAATATGAATGTATTTTTCTGGGTCTTAATTCATTATAAAGCTGCTGTAGTCGTTAACCAACTTCTCAACCAAAAGCCACAAACGTTTGGGCTGACACTTATTTTATCATATCGGAAACTATTAATACGTTAGTTTTACCTTTTCCCTGTTTTCACAGGACATTTAGCTAGAGCACCGGGTGATGTCCAAGCTTCTATTGGAGTTCCTCCCCAAGCTGATTCAATCAGACCAATAGGATATTTACGATGTGTATTTACATATTCTCCAAATAGGAAACAAACAGCAGAGAAGCTTGGGACAGTTTCTGTAAGACAAAAGGAACAGTTTCTGTAAGATGAAAGACAAGAGGAACAGTTTCTGTAAGACAAGAGGAATAGTTTCTGTAAAGCAAGGGGAACAGTTGAGCTCATGATTTTCTGATAAGAAATAATTTAGTGAATGCCGAAATCTTCATCAGCAACCTGTTCTCCAAAAGTAAGTTCCGCTGGTATATTTATTTTAGGGCGTTTATCCTTCTGGGGGAGGCTGTAGACTTAAGTTGGTTCGGGCTCCTCTCATGGTAGAGCCCCAGCACAGGGTGTGTAGAAACTTAATTTGGTACATTTGTTAATTTTGTATTTTTCTCTTGGAGTGAGACCCCCCAAGGGTGGAGTCCCATGGACTTGGTTCAACCAGTACCCATGATAGTTGAGACAACGGGCAACCTTCAAGTAGAACTTACGTGTTGTTGGTACAGTCCAAGGTGTTTGAACTTTCTTAATATCAGTTAAGAGTGTTGGTGATTCGACATCTTGAACGTGAAATATTCTTACTTTAGTAAACTTTAAAGCCTTTTGAAGTTCGTATGCACTATTGTTGACCTGAAAAGTTCATCGTTCGTTCAAGAAATTTGGATTCGTTTCCAGTTCAGTTATAGTGTTTGGCAACTTCTCTGGACAGAGTAATGTATTAACCGAGAGTCATTCCAGGGCGAAAATGTGTAAGCGGTTGAAAGTTGACTTGTATGAAGTGCCCTCGGCTCGTACCCAGTAACAGTAAGAGTGGTCCTTGTCTATCAATAACCGTAATTCTGATTTTGGAAACTTTCATCTCCACAATATCAAACTATTACGAACTTCGTACTTATACCTTGGATGCAATAGCCACTATTCTTGTAACACGGAATGCAGAAATTTGATTGCATTATATGCCAGCAAATAGAGCCAATCATAGTCCTCAACAGAAAGGCTTTGAACAGTATGACTTTGTGTTCACAGACTTTCTGTCGAAGCCTCTGATTAGCTAGCATACAATTCAATCAAATCACTTCATTAACAAAACTAGGAGGGTTGAAGTCAAGGTATAAGTACGATGTTTGTAATAGTTTAACATTGTGAAGATTCCAAAATCAGAATTACTGTTATTGATAACAATGAACATTCTTACTGTTACTGGATACGAGCCGAGGGCACCTTCTAGTACTAGTTCGCAATTAATTCATATATGGTATACATAATATGGTGTACATATGTTTTAAGACTTCAAGATAATAGGGTATAGACTTACAGCACCAAACTGATATCCCATATTACTCTGTCCAGAACAGATCCAGACATCACCAAATAGAACATCATGAAGAGTCAGCTTTCCTTCTGAATGGGATGACACTTCTATAGTAAAAGGTCCTTCAGCTGTCATAGCCGGAAGTTTGAGTTTCCATTGTCCATTTGCTGTCTTGGTGGTAACCGGACCTCCATGTCCAACGATTTGAGCAGTTATGGTTTCACCATTCTTATCAGCAAATCCCCAAATGACAGCTCTTTGAGGACCTCTCTGTAATACCATATGGTCTCCATAAGATTTGGCAAATCGTAAAGCGCCATCGCAGGCTATAATAAAAACGTGACATATTGATAAACCAGAAAATATGAAACACAGAAAAAGAAAATTTAATTCTCGTTTCTTAAGAAAATGTCATTTATATACGGAAAACATAGATTTGTCCCATCTCAACATTGGTCTACTTTTAAATGCGCTTCCATTTTGGCGAAGGGAGGACTTCATGTGCATGGATAGACTTAATATCTAAGCTCTAATGAAAAAAGAGATGGTAAAGAGTACAACTTACCCAAAAGACCAGCAGAAAGCAGGACCAATATCGTCAATGTTGACATCTTGACGATATATTCAAATAATCATACAATAATGTGATCTTCGTTCACATAAATAGGTAACCTACTGATAAGCTATCACCAAGGTCATGATTCCATGGTATCTTTTCTTAAAGAATAATACACCACTGTCAAAATCTCGTCAAATTTTCTTTTTTTCTGATAGCTCAATTCTCTGCAACGATTTGCATTACACTATGTTTTCCATCTAATCTACACCACTGCTTCAAGTAGGCCTCGAAAGTAGGTCTCGGGTGGAGGCCTCAAAAGCCGCTCATCCCTCCATCACGGGAATATGATGGCTCAACCTAATCATACAGATCCATTATACTCGTCATCATAAGCGAAGCGAAGCGATTAACAATTTAGATGGTTTAAAAATTCTAGAATTAACTTAAAGTTATCCTAATGCAAGATCTTCAAGATTCCTGCAGAAAATTCGGTGGCGGTGATTGCCGACATGATTTCAGAATTGTTTCATCAGATTTTACATCGTGGCCTTTTCCTGTCCTTAAATTAGATAGGAGGATCGGATGATAAACAAAGTCTCGTTCATTAGACAAGGTGAACAACTGAGCATGGCCAATAGTTAGAAGTCTATGAAGAGTAGGCTAGATTACCCTGGGTTCTATGCATCATTTCCTTCATTGTACACTGAATGGTTTCGTTTTCATTAGCCCAATTAATATGTTATGAAAGTACATCAATTGTAGAGCAATATAGAAATATTAAAAGAACCTGAAACATGTTTCATGCTGTGCTATCTTCGGACAACTGACCTATACTAAAGTTTTTGTCTGGTGCTATATACATAAAATACATCTCAAAGAACTTTAATGTTTTAAAAAGCTTTATTTCTGATAAACGACGGACCTGGTAGATCATTATCTCGTCCATAAATAGCACACTTCTTAAACAGACAAGGACTTTCTCTCCAGGCATATCTTAAACCAACCATGTGTTTACCATGACAACCGGAAGTGTTCAAAGTGACTGATGCTCCTTGATGGTGGGTTATTGGTGCTGCTACCCAATGATCATTAGAACCACAGTCGGTCTTAGACGTTGAGCAGCAAATCTTAAATGAAGCACGATTTTTATGAATGGTTCTTATGAAAAAGACGGTTATCGCTGTGAAGATGAACTTCTGCAATCATCGTCATCAGTTCACTATCAATTTTTTGAGCTTTGTTTCTTTTATGTTCTAAACATAGAAAAGTGTTACGAAGAGTTCTAGGATTGGGTGACATGGTTTTTGCAAGTACCTAACCTTATTTTCAATCTGGTCTCTACAAGCATTCCTTGATGAGTTTTCGGACCATAAGTATATAAGGCTGGTTTCAGCATCTCCAGGATCAGATAAGGTAAAGTACGCTTTCGCAAAAAATTACATTGTGAATAAATTTACACTGTTTAGAGAAAAACCTACCTCGAACCCATTATTAGATCTAACATCTAAAACTGTATGACCATGATCATATTCTACTGTGAGTTGATTAGTCACGTGGTTATTAAAGGAGGTAGGAAAAGGTCCCTGATAATTTAAACCTTTTTGTCCATAAGCTACAGCTAAACTAGCTAGTCCTAACCTTTCACCTACATCTTGTTTAAATCGTGGATGGATTCTGTTGGATAAAAAAGATAAAGTTTATGTTATCTAAAACAGCTGGAGGAGGCATCGCCATTTTATGGAATGTTCTATCTCGTTCTTTGACAGAGTGTCCGACTGTACACTTTTCGAAGGGGTTTATAACCATTAATGGTTTTTTTGTTACTTTAAATTAGACGAAATCTCTAATATCTGGCATAACTGTTTTGTATTTGCCGCAACAGTTTACTTACGTTCCATGAGGTGAATTAAAATCAGGAAGATCCATAGCTACTGCCATAAAGGTATGCGGTAGTTTAGTGTTGGGAACATATCCTACATTTCCAGTTTGACTGAATCTTAATCCAGGGAAACCAGCAATACGGTTAAAATCATGTTTATTGGCAGCTAGCTGAAAGAATTAAAAAGTGACATATCATAAATATTTTTCGATTCTTCTGATTTTCGATAGGGTTTATCGTTGGGTGAACACTCACACCAAGGTTCGTCAAAATCTGACAAAAATTGTGCCTTCTAGATCTAAAAATTGAAGGTTTTAGAGAACAAGGGCAATAACTCATACTAAATATTTTTCGATCCTTCTGATTTTGGATAGAGTTGACCAGAGTTGGCTTTACCTTCAATGAAAGACAGTTCATCATTTTTGTTAAATGATCTTTTACCTGAACAACACCAAAAGGAAACTTGTCACTAGTTTCACCCAATGAACCATGATGAAACTGTTGTCTCCAATCATTGACCATAGCTGGTTGTTGACAAACATATCGTTCTGAATGACCCGAGTTTGTCTCACCTTCAATGAAAGACAGTTCATCATTTTTGTTAAATGATCTTATACCTGAACAACACCAAAAGGAAACTTGTCACTAGTTTCACCCAATGAACCATGATGAAACTGTTGTCTCCAATCATTGACCATAGCTGGTTGTTGACAAACATATCGTTCTGGATGACCCGAGTTTGCCTCACCTTCAATGGAAGATTCGTAAGAAACGTCTAGCAATATCTGAAGAACCAAGGTCTATTCTGAGAACCAATATTATTAGAAACCAACCCAGTTGTCCATAGCACACTTTTAACATGTTAATAACGGTTTCTAAATGTATCTTCATGGAATGTGATGTTTTCCCTGATTTTTCAGTAGTTTGTCAAACTTTTCGCAAATCAACTGCATAGAGATTGTAAGTCATAAGCAGTAACCTATGAACAATATAAGGAAGTTACCTTGATACCAAATAGCACCGTATATAGTCAATGATAACAATGGATTTATCATGGCATTCCACAGAGTTGATGGATTGTGAGGGCCTCTGAAATTTTAACGGTTGATAGAAGCTCTAGGTGTTAAGAGAAAGTATTGTAAATTTAATTTAAACAGTTGTTAACCCCTTCAATGACATAATTAACCAGACACGGGCAAAGATAGGTGATGGGGGTTGAAAGACTACACCGTGTGAAGAAAATTACCTTTTCGATGTATGAACAGGACATTTAGCTACAGCACCAGGTGATGTCCAAGCTTCGATTGGAGTTCCTCCCCAAGCTGATTCAATCAGACCAATAGGATATTTACGATGTGTATTTACATATTCTCCAAATAGGAAACAAACAGCAGAGAAGCTTGGAACAGTTGCTGTAAGACAAGGATTACAATCCAAAATATGACCAAAGTTGAAAGGTTATTCATTTACAAAATATGGTCTAGTTATTAGTTTTAATAGCTCAAGGACTAAAAAGATAGATTTAAGGCTTATGGTTAGTTCTTTTCCCAATTTTCTTCGCAGTATTGTATTATTGAAGATGGACAAACTGCCAGTTTGTGGATCTAGAACACGAAAAGTGAACATATAGTCAAAGACTTTGGTATATACACAACCTAGAGCATATGGTACCTCGCACAACCTAGAGCATAATGGTACCTCGCACAACCTAGAGCATATGGTACCTCGCACAACCTAGAGCATATGGTACCTCGCACAACCTAGAGCATATGGTACCTCGCACAACCTAGAGCATAATTATGGTACCTTGCACAACCTAGAGCATATGGTACCTCGCTCGTTTGTCTTAGGCTGTATATATGGTACTTCCGACTGAGGGGGGATGAAAAGGTTTCGTGAGGTGAGTCACTGCTACAGACGTATAAAGGGTAAAGATCTTACTTGTTGTTGGTACAGTCCAAGGTGTTTGAACTTTCTTGATATCAGTTAAAGGTGTTGGTGATTCGACATCTTGAACGTGAAATATTCGCACTTTAGTAAATTTTAAAGCCTTTTGAAGTTCGTATGCACTATTGTTGACCTATAGAAAAATTGGAATAATTGCGGACATCAACGACAACCAAAAACAACAAACACAAAAGCGACAAACAAATAAAAGTGTAAAGCACAGCATCAGCAGAAATAAGGCTGCCATCTAAAAATCTATATGCACAATCATTTCAATAAATATGCACATATCCAACTGGAATATGACCACTTACAGCACCAAACTGATATCCCATATTACTCTGTCCAGAACAGATCCAGACATCCCCAAATAGAACATCATGAAGAGTCAGCTTTCCTTCTGAATGGGATGACACTTCTATAGTGAAAGGTCCTTCAGCTGTCATAGCCGGAAGTTTGAGTTTCCATTGTCCATTTGCTGTCTTGTTGGTAACCGGACCTCCATGTCCAACGATTTGAGCAGTTATGGTTTCACCATTCTTATCAGCAAATCCCCAAATGACAGCTCTTTGAGGACCTCTCTGTAGTACCATATGGTCTCCATAAGATTTGGCAAATCGTAAAGCACCATCACAGGCTACATGAAAAGATTATCATAATATTTTAACATATAATTTTCATGAGATCTTGAATATGTTTTGAATTTCCAAAATGGTTTCAATTAGACGTACTAATATGGTGGATACATTACGTCAAGAATATAGTTTATGTTACTGCAAGTGAATTCTAGTGGCTTCAGACTGAAATCTTAGAAACTTACATGAGAAGCCAGCAGCAAGAAGCACCAATAATACTACTGGTGACATCCTAGCGATCTAACCAAAACTTTTTCACTTTGTACGAGTCCGATAGTGAACAAGTACCGTTAGTGAATGTTGAAATAATGTTGACTCAAAGCTCTATATACGTACCAATAAACGGAAGCTATCTCGAAAAAAACTAATTCAGTGGTATCTTTCTTATCTAGTAGACAGCTTTTGTCATTTGTTCCTTTTTATGTATGCATTTACTTGAAAGATCCTATCTGGAAGTACTCTATGCCACAGTCAAGATACCGGCAAAGGTCGAGAAGCTTCGAATTTGTCTAGAATCACTTCCCTGTAATTGATATAGATTGCTTCGATTGCAAAGCAGTTTAAGTAGGGTTACTTGACACATAGACTTCAGACTTCATTTAGGAAATTTTATGGTCGTTATAGCGAACTTCAGAACAAATATTACAAATCTGTTTCTTGCATCTTGGCTGATTTCTTTGTTCAGTCATATTGATCTGATTGTATCCCATGATATTGAACTAGATAGTAGTGGCGGGTGTGTGCACGAAGCAGACCATGCTTACTCTTTTCGAATCACCTGATGGTACTTGTCTTGGAAGGAGTCCACTACTATAATATTTTTACTCTTGATTTTGCCATGCTTTGGACGAGATTTTGATTAACGGAATTGTCTAACGTGTACGGATTTTTATTCAGACTGTTTCATGAAGAATTTTTCGGTATTTTCACATTTTTCAAATAAAACGAGATTTAATGGGATGGATTCACTATAATGTGTTTTATAAATGAACCAATAAATAAAAAAATATAGAAGAAAATAACAAGGCCGTAGCGCAATCGAAATTGAAATAAGCCAAATGGCCCCATCTGAAGTTTGGTTGTTTCAGTTGTGAGACATCCGCCTCATTTGCCTCCAGTACGATACAGCCTCGAAATTGACTCAAAGCATGAACAAAATCACCAAAGTGCCACTCCCACACTGAACTGTGGAGCTGGCAAATCGTTATCTCGTCCATAAATCTGACACATTTTAAATTCGCAAGGACTTTCTCTCCAGTTATACCGGACTCCTACCACATGTCGTTCATAACAACTCAGTGTCGCTATTGTTACAGTGGTATCACTGTGTTCTGTGATAAAGGTGCTGACCCAAGAATCGTGAGGTCCACATGTGGTTGTCGAATTTCTTGAACAACAAACCTACAGGAAGGGAAAAGACGCTTTTATAAACCACATCTAATTTCTGAGGAAGTTAAATTGTGAATCATATGAATGGTTTCCGGGCCCAGCGGCGGTGTAGCATTCGCACCCTAGAAAAATTGGGGTAACATCTGTGACTCTGGGCAGCTTACGCCTATGGCACTTCTGCAATGAGAATTATTTTCCACTCTGAAAGTTGTTTCGCTTAAAACAGTCTGCTCCCTATTTGTACCCCCGGTTTCTGGAGTCAGTCCCGTAACTGGCCGGACCCGCACATTGTGTAACCGCACTAATATTTTCTACTGTATCAATAATCCCGAACCGTATACAACATATTAACCTCTATTTGCAACATAATTCTTATAGATTTATATTCAATTTCAATTCCAGTAAAGATTGCACAATACACCAAATAAAACGTATTGTTAGCTTGCGGTTGCGTGAGTGTTATTTATTACCCACCCTATACTATGCGCCATCTCAAACCGAGGTACATTCATACTTACATCAAAATAAAACGCACCGACTCTAACATCTAAAACTGTTTTTCCATGATCATACTCTATAGTAAGTTCGTCGAAACGTTTACTGTACTTGTACGAGGTTGGAAATGGACCCTGGTAATAAATTCCTTTCACGCCATAAGCTACAGCTAAACTAGCAAGTCCTAGTCGTTCTGCTACATCTTGTTTATATTTTGGATGGAGACTGAAAATCCAAACAATCATCAAGATCAATAAATTTGAGCAACCATGACAGTGAAATAGATTCAAAATTCAAAAATTGGTGGATCATTACTTCTGAAGGATGAGTTGAGGGGAACCTTTTGGCGATTGTAGTGCGACAGATTGGGAATGGGGCTAATCTGAACCCCTACAATACACTCAGCCCACGTCCTTAGCTATGGATACAAAAACACAAGGCCCTTGATGGTTGGGGGAGACGTTGAAGACGTTACATATAAATGAAATGAAATGAAAGGAGTTTTACGTCCTACTCTTCTGATTACATATAAAGATTGCAACTCTCTTTCAAAGGATCAACAAATGATTTACATTGCACTGCTGTAAACTGTAGTCTCCTATATTCATATGTTTTAAAAATAGATTATAATGCAATTTGAAAATATTACTGCTAACTCACCGGTGACTGGTAGGGGTGAACTCTGGCAGGTCAAAAGTAATAGCTAAAAAGGTATTTGGAAGAGTTGGATTGGGTAAATATCCAACCTTAGCTGTTTGACTCCATCGTAAGTCAGGCACTGGACCAATTACATTATAATTATGGAAATTGGGCCCGATCTGTAAAACATTAAATTTCGAGATCAATTAGAAATAAGATTCTTTTCTAAACAAGAAAGAAAAATTGGGTTCATATGTTATTTTCGATTTTCAGATGCATCGTAAAGTGAGGTCAGTTGACATTGGCATAATTCCAGTACATGTAGCGCTAGTAGTCGCTGACAACATATACCATCATGTACCGAAGTTTCAGTTGCTAACCATACATGTACAGAGGGAACATGATCATGATTTTTTTCTCGAATAAGTTCAGGACGGGTATTGCTTTTACGTACGTACCTGAACTATACCAAATGGAAATGTGTTGCTAGTTTCACTAAGAGAAAAATGATGACTCAGAGTTCTCCAATCATTAATCAATGTTTGTAGATGACATCCATATTTGTTTGCTTCTTCGATGTCACTTTCACCTTATAATGAAATAACTACATGTGTCAAAAATTTGATATATAGACCATAATATTAGGAAAGAGTCAATCTTTTGTTGTCGGCTCTTCCTATCATTGCGAAGCAGAATTCACCAAGCGTTGGATTGTTCACCCACCAACAGGGAACTTGAGCTGGGTATCTTTCATAAAGACTGGTCTATTTCACCCAAAATGGACTGACTCTTTAAAGCCTTTGACGTGGAACCAGAAATTGTTTACTTTTTCAAGGAACATCCAATGGTATAGATTGGTTTTACTAGCCACTTCCGGTTGGATCAATTGGTGATTGGTTTCTAACATTGTCGAAATTATGACTGTGAAATATATTATTCAAAGATATTCGAAAAGATGGTGTAACTTCATAAAATGTAGACTGAAATGCAAGACTCCATCCCCCATCCTTCTCGGCCTACAAATCATCAACATCCAAACAAAGCACAACGTCAGTCTTCCGTCTTGCTGATCAGATTCTTACATAGAAAGATTACATCGTGTTCTGCTTTCATTTCATGAGTCCAGCGCAATATACATATTTTTGTTGCATAATACTTTGTGCCTTTAATGAAATGTAACTTAAGTTGTACCTTGAAACCAAATAGCACCATATATTGTCATGGTTAGTAGAGGGTTGATCATAGAATTATATGCACCAGAGGTGTCATTTCGTGTCCTGAACAGCAAAGAAATACATAAGTTAGAAAAGATTCCTTTGAACATGGCATTTGAGAGCAAAGTATGATCGAAGATGTATCAAATGAGTTGTGCAATGTTATTGGCCTAAGAGGACCCGCGCCATAGCGATCACCAGGTGCGTATGGTTGCGTATATGAATAGCTGTCATAAGTTTCCAACGCAACTCTCATGCAACTGAGTTGTGAGATGCGTTTAGTACTCGTGACCACTTTCATTATTCGCAACCATACGCAACTTGTTATCGCTATGGCGTTATGCCGTTACACTATATATATAATAATGGATAATAATGGATGCGTCTGATATTAAGTAAAATATCTTACGGTTTTCCACATCTGGTAACAGAGGAAGAAGATATCCAAGATTGTATAGAAGTATCATTATCATCTGAATCGGTTTCAATCAGTCCAATAGGATAGTTATGATGTCTGCTGATATATTCCCCATATAGATAGCATACCGCAGAGAAATTAGACACCAAGTCTGAAACATAGAAATCTTTCAGAAATATATGTTCATAATATAGAAATGACTTTGCTGATAAATTAGACAGCAATAACAAAGTTGTACATATGGTTTGCATATATCTAATGGTGTTATGTATATAAATAACTTAAAGAGCTATCGTATGTTGCAGAAAGAGAATCACAAGCACAGTCTCATTGTGAGCAGGATCTGGCTATTCGACAGCACACTTTAGACTCCATCAATAAGTCTGCAGTTGGCATTGAAACCGAATGGATAATATTGGACTAGATGACCGATACTTTGTGAATATGCCACGTTCATTTGAAAATGTAATTATGTTTACTGCAGTGAAGGTCGACTTAAAAAATTCCACGGACTTAAGATACCATATATGAAATGTATCACCTTCGGTAGGAATACTCCATGGTGTATGAAGAGTCTGCAGATCAATTAGTGAAGCATCTGATTCTTCATATAGAACATGTAATATTCTGATTTTGTTGTACGCCATCGCTGATGATATTTCATTGTCGCTGTCATTCACCTAAACATAATAAGTAGAGGATTAAAACAAATCGATTGCGTATCATATGGGGGAAAATGAACCAAAGTAACTAACTTTGTTTTGCATAACACTTCGTATTTGCTTAAATAGTGGTCAGTAGTGGTCAATCATTTTGTATCGCGAGACAATCAAACAGAATCAAAAAGATCTTGGAACTGGACACAGTTTCTGCCATTGCCCGTTTAAATCGATTTCTTGGAGCTTGAAGCCAAGAGGTCTGTAGCACTAACAAAGACCGTTGCTCACAGTGAATATAAATTCTTGAAGTTTTGTTTTAAATGGATAAAACATACATACTCTGGACATACTGAATCCCATGTTAGCTGCTCCAGAACATATCCACACATCACCAAACAAAACATCATGTAGTGTTATATTCCCTTCAGCTTTGGTTGACACTGTAATGTTGAACGGACCTTCATCAGTCATAGGATTCAGCTTCAACTTCCACATCCCGTTAACAGATATCGTGGTGACTGTACCATTGATACCATCAATATCAGCTGAAATGGTTTGGAAATCTTTATCTGTATAACCCCAGATCACAGCTCTTTGAGGACCTCTCTGTAGTACCATATGGTCTCCATAGGATTTGGCGAATCGTAGAGCACCATCACAGGCTGGAATGATGAAAGATTGAGTAGAGTTAAGTTGTTCTTCTGTGGATCCATCTTATGAAATTATAGATCTAATTGTTTATCTTTTCATATGTTGTATTGCTGTCAGTGATGTGTTGTCAACCATGATCTGACGAAAGTGTTAGGCAACTCAAATTCTAGCTGAATAAAATATTCAACCAAGTCTTGATTTGTATCACTAGTCCGCTTTGTTGAGTCGGTTGATTGGCATGCCTTGATATATAAGATCATGTGTAAACTGGCGCTACAATCAAATTCGCATGTACCACATCATCTTCTGTAAAAGGCTAAACACTGTACAAATCAGTTCATTACCCCTCTGCTTTGGTGGTTTTTCAGGGCAATTAGTATAGTATGTGAAAGAAGTGGCATATTGTACGATTAATTTGGTAATTTTGGATCAACAAGTTGACAAATACAAATATTGAAATAACAAGAAATAGTATTATTGCCTTACTTGTAGAAAAAAGAACAAGAAAGAAAAGTCCTGTAATCCACAACATGCCTGTTCTCAGTAGAAATTACAAGGTCAATATACAATTTTAATCTAGCCCGAGGTTCAAGACAAAAGATAAGAATATTTACGACCAGGAGAAAATGATAGGACCAATATGACTGAATATTCACCATAATGTAGGTGTAGCACCCTTTTTTGTACTGTTCACAGTAGGGGTACCGGTATAATACTTGCCCTTTATGAAATATAATTCTAGCAAATTTAAATGTAGACATTTATGTGCCAATGACAGGTTTAAGTTTTAATATTACTAATGCTGAGTTACTTCCCTTAGTCTACAACAAAGGTAATATCTAAATTACATTTTTGAGGTTCATTTTAAAACCGTGTATAACTAATTATACTTGGGACCATCGTGTACAAGAAGTGTTTTAATACCTTTTTTGTCAACATGAATCTTTAATCATACAATGATACATTTTTTCTAGATATTATTGCTGCTCTAATGTGCATCAAATAGAATAAAGAAGTATAATGGACACATAGATCGAGTCATTAAGTCTGATTTTTCCAGTCTTTAATTATTTAGACAAGTGCCAAATATAGCAAAAATTAGACTTTTTGAGTAGGTATAGACAATTCTAATACGACTATATTACTCAAAAGGTTGAAATGAGCTTTAGGACTAGGGCAAGCAATTCCCTAAAGAATGAAAACAGATATATTACAATAGTAATGAGGGCAATTAATCCTTAGAAACCAATTGCATCTTACTGGGTGATCAATTAATTATCATGCTGTGATAGCAGCACCTGCATCTAATATCAACTCCAGTGACCATACTATAGTTTTGATTGGATTAACCAGGTGTGGGCTGAAAGTCACCAATGTTTTGTGAGGTTCTGTAGTACAGTCGATTAGATCGTTGGTTCTTTACATGTCGCCATTTGCTTGTAACGTTGAACAATTAATGATGGTTGCGGGTTCTAATCACGGCCGATATGTGAAAGTCCGATAACCTTGAATAAGTCATCTTCACTCATAATTCCAGTTGACCCAGCTTAAATGGGTATAAGGATAATCCGGGAAAGACTAATGTCAAAAGATTTGGCCAAGGCCCCGCTGGTAGAAAGGATCGAAGTGGACCGAAGTTGTTAGACCTATCCTTCTCAAATATAGGCTTTTCTATATATAGTGGTTTCTTTCCCTTCTCTATCTTTTCATCGTTACATTGTAACTATTATAAATATTAGTATGCGTTATTACAGCATTTATACTATTGATAAAGCCTGGTTTAAAATTAGTTAATATTACATCTGAACTTGTGTTATTGAAAGATTTAGATAAACTAATTGAATAACGACCACCCATGGGAAATATTAATTATTAGCTAATTCCCCATCCTTTGATCGACCGCGTTCTGTTCGGCACGCTTCCACCGTCTTACAATATAACATATGGTGGCCAATTTGTCTCCTAATATATTCATCAATTATTGTGCCGTTACAAGATGGACAATGGTCACTTCTATTGTCCAGTCTGGTCAGCTGTATTGTCCAGTTAGACATAACAAACATTGTAGAGCCTTCAACGATGACCCTTAAATAACGGTCAGTAGTGGTCAATCGTTTTGTGTCGTGAGAGAATTGTCCACTATTCATATCGGTTTATGTCAAACAATTTATATTATATTTTCTTTAATTGCGGTTTGTGGTCAACTGTCTTTTATCCAGGTCGATTTTGGTCAGTTTTCTTTCATCTCGGTCAACGGTCATCAAATATTGATGGGCTAAGTACCGTTAAGTATAAATATAAATATACTTCAAAAATAGATTATTCTTTTTTAATGTTCCGAAATCGCTCTTATTGAAAACGATAATGTGTTAATCCCCTTTATATCTGCCTAGTTAAACTTGTAATGGGCCATTCACTGGATACAATTCATAAGTGTTCTTTAACTTCAGAACTCATTTTTTTCTCACGGAACCTGACGAATCCATCTGTCACCAGACGTTTTAACAAAAATCAGTGGCAGAAGTTTGTTCCACTGAATAACATAGATTTACAGTTGGTGAGCTCTATTGAGTGAATACTTGTAGGTGGACAATGAAAGTAATGTTAAAGTGACAATGGTTGGTAATAGGCTAATGCTCCTGCAACATATACAAATCACGGATCATTCTAAAGCTTTCTCTCTCGTAATCTTTTAGTCAAAATCCTTATTTAAAATAATTCAAATACATTGTTTTTGATTAAAATAGAATGGATTATTAAATGAATTTTTAAAGCAAATTATGACCAACTTAGCAAATACAGATGAACATTTTCTTTATGGTAGAAAAGTAGTGGAAAATGTATTTAAAATTTCTGCTACATATATTATTGTAAATTTGATCGAGCCCCTTCTTTCAACTCATTTTATATTATGGGGCTTGATATTTATTTTAATGAAAACTTGGATCAATTCGACTTTCACGATTTGTGTTGATTTTCTTGACGTATTCTAGAGAATTGAAAGTGTGAGAGTAACTACAGTTTGTATTCGATAGTGACGAATCTTAGCATGCTAATTCATTTGGCTCAGATCCCTTTTTCTCTACCTCTTAACTAAGCTTAATGTTACGTCACATTTGTCTTGTGAGCGCGATAAAAATTCTGTTCTGAGAGATTTTGATGAAACTAACCACGTCTATGTACTTAAGGAAGTTAAGTTATTAGAACGACCTGTTTCATGAATTTTGCTCACGTAAATAAATATTTATCCAGAATTTCAACATTAATAGCAACGTAAAAATGTGCCCATGTTAGGTAATATGTTTACCGCAACGTGAAAGAACCTGGAAATTACACAATGGTCACTTCAAGTGCCAGATTGATTGTCCAGTTAGTGGACATTATGTCATCATTATGGAGATGTCAGCATACATAAGAAGGCTCGTTATGACCGTTGGTCAACAAGGTTTTAAACATGGTTGCATTGTTTAATTCATAATGACCCGGTCAGCTATCTGATTATAAGGCACGATTTTGAAAGCAAGTCAACTCCCTCAAGCAGACCACGGGGAGCACTTCCCTCGAAGGTCTGTCCTTCAACACCTGCATGCTCAAATCACTGGCAAGAATATCTTAAACCCATTAGCATTGAAAGGTACATGTTGATCTTTTGTCAGTCTCCTACTAGTTAGTCAATAGAGGATTATTGAAGAAAGAAAAGGAGACACCGTGATATCGTTTTCTTTAAGATTTCTTTAAGAAATGTTATATAAAGTGTATTGATGTGTAGACAACAATATTACACCAACGATACTCTCTAATTTAAGATTGATTGAACATCTGACGTGTCAACTCTTGTTAAACACCGAAGAGGTACCTTATTTAATGTCCATCACTTCACAAACTTGGTAGAAGTTGTATGACTAGGTCAGATAGAATATACAAAGTTCATCTAAATCAAATCGAAATTAAAGATGGGTTCCCTTATTTTCATTTATGAAAATGCCAATACTTATATGAGTAGAAAGTAGGTGTGTTCTAATGACTTCGAAAAATACCAGTTTGTCTATAGTTAATTCATAATTGTCTAAATTAGAAGAGAATTACCAGTAGAATTCCAATGAGTTACCGATCAAGATCCAGACTGTACATACATGGACATTTATGATTGGTTAAAACTCTTAATTATATGCAATAAGTACATAATGACATGATTAAGAATACATGATAATCCAATAGAAACACCAATTAATCAAATAGTTTGCTTAATTCGGCACCAAAAAATAAGGAAATCTATCTTTAAAAACAATGGAACAATTTAACATCAAACCCTTTTCACCTAATTGGGCAATGATTGCTGAGAGCAAAGTTTCTCGTCTCATACAGCCAGACATCCCATTCCAATAAGTCTGTGCTATAAACCAAATTGTACGTATGTCGAAACGCCATTCAGTGTGCAAGGATGGTGTGAGGGGGGGGGGGGACGTATTTGTTTAAAACTGTTACGGAAACCTTAACAAAGAACACTGTTACACAGAGATAGCTGATTCTCCCTCGGACTAATCAACCCTCCGACCGCCTATCAAAGAGGTTTGTGTCCTGTGGTAGTTCTTATAGCCGAACATACCACGACCCTCTAGCGGGTGAACTCACATTAAAAAAAAATTCAGACTTGTACATACATAAAACAATCGTATTTAGATTAAAAAAAAGGTTAAAAGGGGGCAATTTATAGCGGAATTGCTTAATGTTTCGACTAAAACTTCTTGCTATTTGTGCTTTATTTCTATGTCGATTAAATGCGTCTAGCTCACTGGAGTTAGAATATCTCGTCCTATGCGTCCTTCTATAAAAGACTCTAGAGTATTCTAGTTATATGAGATGGAGATAATAAAAGAGACGTTGGTTTCTTCTTTAATGTAATTAAAATATCATTGCTTAACTTCTTGTCATCTGGTTATTGCCCTCTGTCTTCTTGAAACCAAAACATTAGCCGTGAAAGGAGAGCCACTGTTTGTATATTGGTTGGGAC